CTAAGTTCAAAGCCCGGTGCCAGCACCAATTCAATACTTAAAATTTTAAGTGCTGACTTATCACGTGCTCAATAGTGAAGGAAAACATGGTGAGGAAATCTGCATGTTTTCAAAATAACAACAAGAAAAATATTTCGAAGATATGTGAAGTCTGCCAATTCGCAGTGGAGTCACGTGGTGGATTATGCCTTGATACCCTCCTATATATATATATATATATATATATATATATAGAGGAGGCCTTTGCCCAGCAGTGGGACATGTATAGGCTGTTACTTTTTACTTTTATTAATAAAAATACAGATTTGCACTCAATTGTGAGTTTCTGTGAAAGTAGGAGTCTGTTCTGATCATAGAGGTTGTATTTTATTAATATTCCCTCAAAAATGAAACATTAGAAATGGGTTACTAAAAGAGCAGACGATCACTTGAATATGTATTGGTAAACGCAGTGAGTTACCGGTTGTACGAACCGACCTTGTAGTTGGGGAAGAACTCTCGCTGGACCCGAGGGGGACTTAGAATTTCCGATAGAATTGGGCTGCATGTAACTGATAATCAAAGTCTAAACATGTGTGAAGTCTTGTGCGTACTTCTTGGGATAAAATATAAGTATTTTCGCGGGCCTAGAATTAATGTGGCCCACATAGTAATGGCGATAAGATCACCTGGCAAATATGAGTATAAAGATAGATCCATGCATGGAAGAGGTGCTAAACAAGCAAGTAGCGAGTTGGCAAAGCATTGTCACCTTTTTTAAGTAGGATGAGAATTGAATTTCAATTTGAAGGCCTGTTGTATCGGGCCGAAAATATACTAAGAAATCAAAAAGAATCGAAAAAAGTGCACTGTGGCAAATCACCAACCATAAAGAGTTTTCTTAGCTTATATTCGTTGTTAAGCTTCATCCACACTAATGATTTGTATTCATCGGGCTAGTTGCGAACTTATAAAAAAATGCTCCATAAAATTTCTTTAATTTAATTACTTTAATTTCCTTAAAATAAAAATATTTTAATAATTTTGAAGTCATCGCTACCAAACACCATTTCTATACTCTAGGATATTATTTTGTTTCTTGTAGTTAAGTTTTATTTTTTTACTTTGGTAAACATTGATGCTTATTCCGTTAGCTGTGAGCTTATGTCGTACGCTTTTTTTTGACGATTCGAATAGCTGTGTCTTGAACAATGTATGCACTACACTTGATATTCCGTTTGATGAAACCATCCGTATGACTAAGAAAGAACTGTATATGCATTGAGTTGGATAAACGATTAATATTTATAAAAATGATGTATAACAATGAAACGAAACAAATAATTAATTGTTAACCGTTTAATTACAATAAATTTTTAAAAATATTTAACATTATCAAATTTTTGTTACTTTTTCTACCTTTTACAGTAGTCTGTTACAATATTTATTTGTAGTCAAATAAATACAATTATCATCGTCAGAGAACCTACATAGCCTTGCTTAACAATCTATGAAAGAAAAGGAAGATACAGTACCTAATCTTTCTTACGGTTCCACGTATCTTAATTACATGCGCGACGCACCATTGTTCCCCACTTATGGGAAGAATTCAGAAACGATTGGTAGATTATTATTTGATGATTCATCATTACATTATTTTTAATTATTTTTTATGTGTATCGTATATTTAATTAATTTTCGTTTTTAATTTAATTCTGTAAAAAGTAAATAATTATAACAACCTTTTTCGGTAATAGGCAAAGAGTTATTAAATTAGAGATGTTTATAAATTTACAGTAGACTCTATGGTGATGAGTTCTAGCTCTCTTTTTAGAGGGTACTAGGATATTTCACTTACGAACTTTTAGCGGTCCAGAATTGTAGAATACAGAATTTAAATCGGAATAAACCCAAATATTTATAAAAAATATATAAATAATATAATAATATATTGGAAAAACTGGACGTGCTACCGATGATATTAATTTTTAAGCGAAAGCTTTCCACTCTTTTCCGATATTTTTCCGGTTTGGATGCCGGATGAATCTTGTCGAATAGGCGTCGGCAAACAGCATACACCAGGGCGCATCCTCCTGTATGTCGAATGTCAGTACCTTTATATAAAAGGACGAATAGTTAAGGGTGAGCCGTTCTCTGATGTAAGCTTACAACCAACTTGAACTTGAACTTTTCGGTAAGTTTAACTTCGGATCCGGACTTGCGTAAAAGTTCGTCTGTACAATCTTAAAAACCCCCCGGAGTACCCGATTATATGCCTTCACCAGATCCATGAAAGCCATATGCAGATTTGTACGTACACGTCTGTATTTTTCGGAAAGCTAATGTAGAGCAAATATGGCTACCGCTGCCCCATGGCCAGGCACATAAGTTAGAAGTAATTTAATCTTATATATCTCGCTGTAGTTTAAATTACACTAATATTCTTATCGACAGCTCAGTTTGGCTGGCCCTTGTCAAATCGGTAATCTTTGACGAAGGCTAATCGACCGATAGAATAAAGTCCTATTTCGTGTTAAAGCGCGTAATTGTTGTTTGGGAATTTCCATTGTTGATATTATAAGTGGATTTGACAGACAGATTATTGATATAATTTGACAAATTTTACCCTACATTTTATCCTAATAATAAATAATAAAACCAATGGCAGCTTTCGTAGCATAGTTCAAGAACCAGTCTGTATTCATAAAGCATATAAAATGTTTAGTAGTTGTGTACGAAAGGCCTATAGTTTTGTACGGAACGGCATATAATAACTTCACTAACATTGGAATAAGTTTCTCTTAACACTCTATTTTAGGACTTTAAGCTTCGTTGACTTTAACTGTATCCAGTTTTTATCAAGTTTGTTAGGAAACATTGAAATAAACAGCCGATCTCATCACTGATATTGTTAAACTGCCGGGCTTCCTTTTTCTTGAAACCGTTGTGATGACGGAAACTGATGAGAGAAAACACCAAGATCAAGTTTCTCATAATATTCTACCGAGTTATGATGATCTCTTACTCAGATATCTTCAGCCTATACCGGAAAAAGATAATGGAACTAGAGTTATTATTAGTCTTGAGGCGGCCTTCAAAGTACGACGGGAAAAATAATCCTCTGATTTATGTAAACCAAATCTGTGATTATTCTAACCAAAAGAAAACCAACAATAATTTATTGTGAACATTTACATCACATTGCACTAACTCAAGAAATACAAAACAAAAGTATTCGGAATGTACTAAACTTTATTCTTGATTTTCTAAAACCTCATACCAGGATCTAGATATCGGATCAAATACCTCGTTCGTTTTTCCAAACCTTACAAACTAAGCTAACCAGTTTAGACAACTAGAGGTTCCAGTCATACCCAGTTATCCTATTCCTGAACCTACCTTCCATTATAGATCATGAGTGTTTTATATTCATCATTTGACTGTTCGAATTTAGCAGAGCATCAGGATTCAACTTTAGAAGAAATGGTCGTTGATGAATTCTCTGAAGATGAGCCGTATTAATACCACAATTGATTATTTTAAAATAAACAAAATTTTAAGCGTTATTTTTTATTTATTATCATTTTAAAGGCCACAATTACAATCCAGTTATTCATTCAAATAAAAATAAATCATATATACAATAGTCATTTTGCGTAAAATGTTACATAGATATAAATTATATATTTACCAACTGAGGTGTTAAAATAAAAAATACATAATCGTAACTTAAAAATAATCATCTAATAGCTTCGTTACACTTATAATAATGATTAGAAGTAATGTTACCTTAAAACAAAGCTATGCTTATGCGCCGAAGAGCAACTGAAATAAATAATAAAACACAATAGTAGAAGATTATTACTCTATTAGTAATGGCACTAGACGTTACTTTTACATTTACGTAATATAAGGCACCAGACAGAGATGGTAGTCTTGATTTATTTCATATCTGATAATCCTACAAAACGATATATGGTGTAATCATTATATTGATGAGATTGTTCGTATTAATGTTAATATTTAAGAAACCAATGTCGCTGCTATGAAAACTTTTTTGTTCATTATCTCAGACAATCCACTTTTGGCTATCCATGGTCCTATGTTCTAAGGGACCATGGATAGCCAAAAGTGAAAGTGAATCAGAATGGTAAACAATTTTACATCGAAATAATAAATTTCAATTAATGCTGCCTAAAATGTTGTAAGAAGAGTGCAACCCTAAACATTTTCCAAGCTTTATAAAAAATCAGCGACTTATCAGTGAAATGGCCAGTGTACGCTATTAGCATAATAACCAAACATCCTACAAAAAAATAAAACAAACGCAAGTCTCCTTTCTCCTATACAGCTTCAGGACATCGGCAGTGATTCAACTTTCTAGGTAATAAAATTTATTTCATTCAATTATTAAAGTACTAGTACATTGGTTTAATTGGTTTTTAAAACATTTTTATAAAATTCTTCTTTAATTTTCCAGTAATCGACGTTACAGATATATCTAATTTGATTTAATTTACTATGCTGTTATTTAATATATTAAGCGACTATACTATTTTAACTATAAATATATTATATTAACACAGCTGGGGCTTCAGTTTGAATTTTTTAAGAAATATATTTCGATTTTGCGCAAATTCTAAATGTTCGCGTCCAAACTACACACGTATAAGTACATACTACAAACACTCACACATATAAGTACAAAAGCGTACTGTAAATGAGATTATAACAGACCTTACCGTATAAACGCAAATCTTCATAGTCGAGCGATTCAAAATACAGTCATATAAAATATCGTACGACATATAATTAGATTCGTGTAAATGGTTTGAGATATATAAAAGGCACGATTTTAAGGCATGAAATTTCTATAGTTTACATCGAAATCTTTCTGAGAATTGCACGATTTATTTAATATTGGTCAATAAACGTCGTTAACTCCGCACTAATTCACTGCTACGGCTTATTGAAGACTTAATACAAGTTGACACAAATTTCTTTGTATTGGCAACCATTTATTTTCCTGCATACGTAGGATTTTTAAATGTGGAAGTTGCTTGTTTGTAAATGGGGTTCTCTCCCTGTAAAAAAGAAAAACAAAAAAATTAAACGGAACCATAAAGCATATTTAAATGATGATTTTATTTAAAAAAAAATATCAAAACAATTTACCGTGTCCCACTTCGCCATCATTCTCTCCTTTTCGAATCGCGCGAACTCCCGCCGATCGTGTATTGTGGTCACCATCTTCCATAGCATAAGTAACGCCAGCCCCACCAGCACAATGGCGGCTATCACTCCGAGCACAATTCCGAGGATGAAAACCTGTCGTAGTAAGATATATATGTTTTGGTTACAATCTCATTGTATTAATTTACAGATAAAAAATTTAATTTTTTAACACGCTGCCATATCTTTGACTAAGACCAAGATCGCATAAATTTCGCTTTTATGTATTTAAATCCAAACATGCAGACTATAAACAGCTCTCAATGCCTTTTGAACCTAAGGGTATAATAGGTGTAAAGACTAACCCAGCGAAGAACAGGACTTCGCAGAAAATCGCCTAAAGTAAAAATTTTATATATACACACCGGCACAATTAGCGGAACACAAAAAAGCAGGATTTTAAAATCTTTTACTTCAGGAACTGGCCAGTTATGATATTTTTTTAATTTATTGTCAAATTTGAAAATAGAAAATTAGATGACATACACTTTTTTCATTCATTTGTTTTATTTTCCCGAACAATAGTTAGTTTTGTGTACTTGTTCGAATAATAACTACGTAATTGTAATTTTTTTGAAAAATGCACGTAATGGTTTTTTATAAATTTGTTATTCTACAGGCAATTTTGTTTATTAAAAGCTCTTTATTATGCCTGACTTAACATCACTGGAAATAATTAGGGCTGATGAAATGAGAAGAAATGGCCATACCTACAGATCGATTGCCTCAAGGCTTCGTCGACCAGTATCAACGATTCATCGTGATCGTCTAATTCTCTTGTGAGGAGGAGGGGTAAGGTAGAAAAAGATGTACATCGAGGCGAGATGACAGTTTTTTACAACTTGGAGTTCGTAGGAATACGCGATTAACGGCTGTACAAGCTCGAAATGAACTGGAAGACGTTCGAGGAGTACGAGTATGTGAGCGTACAGTTCGCGGGAGATTTGAAGAAGTTGGTTTAGGGTCGTATATACCTGCCAAAGGCCCAAAACTTGAGAGACGTCACCGCGTAAACCGATTAAGCTATGCGCGAGAACATCGTCATTGGGATTTGAACGAATGGCAGCAGGTTCTCTTTACTGATGAGTGCAGAGTTCTTTTAAAACAGATCGATTGGAGACAGCGAATATGGAGACGAAAAGGAGAACGCCACATACAGTCTAATTTTGAACACACAGTGGCTCATGGTGGCGGCTCGATTATGGTTTGGGGAGGGATATGTTTGGGAGCTCGCACGGAGTCAGTGATAGTCACAGGAGGGACCATGACAGCAGATCGATACATCAGAGACATTTTAGAAGAACATGTTGTACCATTTGCCCCATTTATTGGTGACGACTTTATTCTAATGCAAGATAATGCTCGTGCTCATAGTGCACAATCGGTACGGGCATATCTGAGCCACGTAGCTATACCGGTGATGCAGTGGCCAGCAAATTCCCCGATATGAATCCGATAGAGCATGTCTGGGACTTGCTAAAAAGAAGGGTTAAATCCAGAATGCCACCCCCCAACAATCTGAATGAACTTGGAAACGCATTACTTGAGGAGTGGGAGCGGTTGCCTCAAGAAATCATCGATAACATAATCTGTAGCATGCCCAGACGAATGGAAACCGTAATCAGAGTAAGAGGGGGAAACACTCGTTATTAATTTTGCTTTAATTTTATGGTTAAATCATTTAATGCTTACTTTTTTTATTTTTTGTGATGGTTCATAATCATCTAGAAATTTCACTTATTTCAAATTTCTTTATTTTTCAATAAAAAATAACGAAGACTTTTCAAAGTCGTTGTTAAAAGATGTTAATCAATTTGTTATTTTGTGTCTAATTATATTTTCGTCAAATATATGCGTTATTATCTCATAGTCTCACTTTTTTTTCTGTTCCGCTAATTGTGCCGGTGTGTATATTTGCGTTTCAGTGCGGCCCCTACATTTCAATAAAAAATCTGTTTCTATCTTGTCCCTTATACTCACATTACAAAATGAATCAACTGACTCTTAAAAATAAAACATATTATAGTTTTCACAAAGGAAATGGGTAAACTTGTTGCAAGTCACTAGAATTCGAAATTACGAGTTCAAATCGCGATTTAATACGCAGTACTTAGGTATTTGCTTTTTGTTACCTTTCGCGGACACACATTCTCTTTTTGTGCTCTAATGTGCAAATGTTCAGTCTCATTGTATGAATACACATAGACGTAGAGACAGTCGTCATCGTCGTAGAAATTACACAGGTGTTCATTCAGAGTTTCGTTAGCTGCAGACAAAAAAGAATAAAAAAGATGAAAAATTATTTAACAATATTATTAAATATTATCTTATTAAATGATAATAATCGCTATCCATACTCGAACCATACTCTGTTCCAATATTATTTTTAACAAGTAATTAAAATAATAAATTATAAAAAAATACCGTAAAGTTGAACCATTTGTTCATACTTTTACCAAAAGAGCATGTTCGTATTTTTTTTTGTATTCTCGAAATACATAAAATATTAGTTCCGATGTTTTATAAGGAGTCATCTAATAAGTTTTACATTAAGAAAAACAGTTATTATAAGAGTGTTAGTTATTGTAAGTTACCTTCGATTTTCCCTTCTTCAATAACTGGTTCCAAGTCACATTTTCCGCATTCCTTGGGCTCATCCGGATTATAGAGCCGACCACGCTTATGGACTTGACAAAGGACACACTCTTGGAAGTCCATACATTTACCAGGGAGAGCCTACAAATTTAATTTATAAAGTCAATGGTGAAAAGTTTAATTAAATAAGAGTCAATTAAAACGCAATATTTTCTTATTGCAAAAAGATAAAAAAACTGTTATTTAAAAAATATTAAACTTCAAATAACTAATGGCACACTCACGGGACTCTTCTCACAATGTGTTCCAGAATAATGACGATCATCTTCAACGGCACAAACACACTGGCCGCATACACATTTACCATGTCCGCTACAGATTTTACCGTCTGAAATAAAAATAACCTTAATAATACTACATAACTAAATAATCTTAAAACTATATAGAATCGATTAATACTTATTATCAATAACGACTAAGCCAAACGGCTGAATGTCACGCCACATAAAGCACAACGTATTTTATCTACAATATAGATTCAATTCGATCCAGGAATACGTGCGTTCTATTATCGCGGCGGAGAAACATTTCGATCATTTTCTACTAATTTCAATGATTTATCTTAAGTGCAGAGATCAGCACTATAAAAACTTAATATAAATTTTAAATTTAGAACAGCAGTTTACGTACTGGATCCTCGGCAAGGCGACTCGTCCTTCAGACATTGGCAAGCGGGACCGGTGTATTCTGGTTTACAGCTGCATTTACCGCAAACGCACTCTCCGTGATCTCTTCCGGAGCACAATTCGCCCTTGTTCATGTCGCAAGTGAAATTGTCGCACTCGCAGAAAGGACCCGAAATCACCTGTTGGAAATCGAATTATTTTCTTTTGTTAATAATGGCAAAAAAATTTTCAACGTCACAGTCGAAAACAATTAAATGACTTTCTAATATACATATGAAGGTATCGCAAATGAATAACTACAAGTACTAAGAAATTTGTTCAAAGATATTAAAATATTGGACTGTTGATTCTCAGTACATACTTGACAATGTTATCATAAAAATAAGAATGAATTTATTCAAAATGTATCAATTACAAAATCCAAAAAAATTGTCAAGGAACTTGGCTACTGTAATATTAGTAATTATTTAAATTATAACACACCCTGGAAATGAATTTATTGCATGGAAATGATTTTAATGAATTTATTGTGTCCATGGGCAGTTATAAATGAAAATAATTTTACGGATTTCTCGCGTTTATTATTAATTTTAATTCCGACATTTCGAACCCTTTACAGCGTTCATGGCTACAGGGACATAAACGCGATAAATTCGTAAATATAGTTTCATTTATAATATGTAATCGCGTAAATACAAGAAAAGAACCTATTCTCGAGCACTAAAACTTTTCGCTGTACGCATAATTACTAAACCGCTTATCAATAGGGTAACCACTCTTAACGGAATAAACAAACAATGTTTGAATTGATATTTTTCCGGTTATTTCTTGTCAAAATAACATATTAACATTTTTTGTATTATGGAATGCTCAATTAATTGTCAAAGTATGTACTTCGTCCAAAAAAATCACCCTGTATAAAATTTTATGTTTGCATATTATATGCGTAGTGCATAGTGCGTAGCGTAGACCTTGAGCGGGTCGCAGATGCAGGCGCCGCGGTTGGTCCACTTAACATCAGCCGAATCGCTTGTCACCTTCTCAGACAAAAACAAATGTTTGCATGGTTTTTCTGCATAAGTGTGCATAATTGTGCATAAGTGACCTTGAGCGGGTCGACGAGCTTGTTGCACTCGCAGACGCCGCAGATCCAAGCGCCGCGGTTGGTCACTTAACAGCAACCGAATCGCTTGCCACTTTCTCAGACAAAAACAAATGTTTGTAAGGTTTTTCTGCATAAGTGTGCATAAGTGACCTTGAGCGGGTCGTCGAGCTTGTTGCACTCGCAGACGCCGCAGATGCAGGCGCCGCGGTTGGAGCAGAGCGGGCCGCTGGAGGCGTTCGCGGGCCGGCAGCCGCGCTCCTGCTCCAGCGAGGCGCCGCCGTGCGCGGAGCACTCGCAGCCCTTGCCGAAGCGGCCGGGGCTGCACACGCACACGCCGCACGCGGAGATGCCCTGCCCGCTGCACACCAGCGGGCTGTCGCTGTACGCCTGTCGGTAGATGAAACGGAATTGTGACGTCACGCGCTTTAGTACGGCCACGCAACAGCCTCCGCTGCTGCACGAATTGGCAGGCCCGTTCGGGTGACAGAAGACCGGCGTGAGGTGGATGCGTCATACTTCTGCGCTTCTTCTGGAGAGTTTATTTATTTATTTATTTATTAAGGCTTACCAACTACATACATACAGAACATTGAAATGTAAATATGTTCAACTTAATACTAAGGTCGTAAACAATATATGTACATATTTAAATCACAGGTAAACACAACACTTACAAAACAAACTTGAAATATGGAATAGGAACCTAACTAAAAAAAAAATTCTTTTATCTCTGAGAAAAAAAAAAACGAAATTAGGTAAATTGAAAAAATTGGGAAATTATAAATTTGAACTTAGCAATACGTAGAGTAGTTACGTAGCCGGGGCCCACTTTGTTAAAAGTTGGCAACGCATTTGCCACCCTACGAGTGATGTAAATGTGTATGGACAGTGGTTATCACTTAATATCAGGGGAACCGCCAACTCGCTTGCCACATAATAAAATCTTCTCACATAATAAAAACGAAAAGACGCTCCTGTTACTGGACCATAACCGTAACAAATACCTGCTACAAAACAACGGACTGTTATTTTATAGTATGTCGTGAAAAACAGGTTACTGTATACTGAGACAGCTGTTTACGTTAGTTGTTGATGTATGTATATCCGATTGCAGTAACAGAAAAATAAATTATCTTGAAATAGTGACAGAATATTCAATCACAACCAGTACAGGTTGCAAGGTATCAGTCGTAAGCGAAAATAAAGAAAACCTTGTGACAGCGCGTTAACGAACTTTTGTGTGGAATAAGAACGGTTATTTAAATTTGTTTGTAACAGCTACAATATGCTACCTTATGAAATGTACCTGTTATATTTACCTTTTAAATCACTCCTATAAACAAGTAAATACTTTTAGATATTTTTTCATAGCTTTAAAATCAAAGAGCTTTTTATTCTGGTGATCAAGTGAGTTTTAAAAAAATTGTTTTATATACATCGATCATATTATATCATATAATACGAGTATAATATTTTATTATTCAACCTACATGGTGCCCCGGATGTTCGCAGGGGCAGTCACACACCATCTCCAACTCCACGGTGAGACTTTCCGACATACCGACAGGGTAGATTGTGAAAACTTCCTTCCACTTGCTGGGGTCCTTGGGGCACTCCTTGAGTGTTATTTCCGCTGTGAACTCGACGACGTCACCAACCTTAAAGTTAAATTTAAATATTAATTTTACATATTGTAAAAAAATAAGCTGGAACAATTTTATAGCTAACACTATCTATGATTACACGATTAACGGTTCACAACTGGTTTACAAATACTCTGGGCGAAAACTTTGGATAATGAGATATACACATATAACATCCGAAACACGGATATCTAATTCATTATAGATTTAGTGATAGTAGTTGATGACTCCGTGGCGCAGTTTCCAAAGTATCGTCTTCGGCATCCGGGGTCGTGGGTTCCCACATGGGACAAATATTTGACCCACAGATAGTTGATTCGCATCTAGGTGTTTGTCTACGTGAAATTTATATTTGTAAAACGTCCTTACAACACAGGATAATGTTGTCCTAAAGTGGGGGGTAATGTTTACATATTTCAATATTTCAATTATAGATTAAGTCCAAGTCCGCCCTGCCGCTAAGCTGTTATCAGAAAAACGGTGCTCATCATACAAATTGTTAAAAATTTTAAAAAGATTTAATTCTTTATCTAAACAGTACATACATTATCTTGCGAGATAAAATAATTAAAATATGTAGAAAATTAAAATATGTAGAAAAAATAATTTAGTTCATTGACCTTGAACAGTAATAATTTTCGTAATCACACCCACCTTCAGACCATCACATTTGTTTGTTTGAATGAGGTTATCCTTGCTGCCGAGACACGATGAGTAATACACTAGTTGAACAGCGTCACTAGATGTATGTTTCATTTCCACAGTTGACGTTATTTTCTATAAATAACACATCATTATTATAACGACAATGCAATAGTATTATAGCCTTAAAAGTATATAAACATATTAAATTTATACATATTATGTGTCATGTTCCAATATGTGTAATCTTAAATGTGGGTACTTTTTACTTTGTTGTCAAATAAAGTTAAATAAGTGAAGGTAGGAGTAGAAGCGACGGACAATTTACGTATTGTGTTGAGCTACCTAGCTAATTACATTATAGTACATACTTAACGTCTTTTATTATTATTCTGGACATAATATTATGTAAATCGGGTATAAAGCTTTCTTACAGAAAGTAACCGTAACTACAATTAATTATTTATTTTAACTACTTCAAGATTTAGGATCTTGTAATATGTATATTAAGTAATATGTATTAATAATGTGTAGGGAGTTAAATGAAAGAAATTTCATTTTTAACTACATATAAATAAACAAATTTATCATAACCTGTAAACATAAAGTTGTTTATTGTTTAGAGCCCTCATGTTGAATAAATTTATATATTGGACGATTAATCCATACTTTTTAAACAACATTATCGTCGTATTTGGGTACTCAATAAAAACAAGTTGTGTCGACAAATTGTGTCGATGGCACGGACCCTTATTGTAGGATTTAATGGTGTTTTATGAAAAGTTGGATAACAAAATTAGTGCTTTGTTGTACAAAACCTATATATAAAAATCTAATCCAATTATCAAGAAACGCTCACTACTTATCAGCAGAGTTAAAGGTAAATTTCTTACGGACCTTTATAAAATGAATAGATAAATCGTGTTTACAAAAAATTAAACTTACGTTATATTGTTCTCGGACTAGATCCACCACATTGTCGGAGTCTTCGCTGAGAATTCCACTGCTAGAGCCCTGAATATGCTTGCTTAGTTGTTCGTAAACGCTGATCTGTTCGGAAGTCACGGCGAAGATCACGTTGATGGCATGCTCCTTCACCTATTACAAAACGAATTAATGTTTAAATAAACATATTTCCACCGAATTCGAATCTCCAATCCTGGAGAGTTTTTGCTGTACTAAAGTTTTTTTTAGCAACTGTAAATCAACCAAATATTATTACATACTTGAAGATGTATTAAAAGAAATCAAATAAGACGCACTTCTTAATACAAATCCGAATTTCAGAAGCTAATTTCTAAATCTATCAGGTTATAGAGATCGGTAAATATTTTTATTTATTTAATATTATATTTTTATATATAGCTTTCATTCAGTTATACCTTCAGATTGATTTGTGAAATGCTCGGATAATCTTGTATGGTTGAATGCGTGTATGAGTTGTTCTCCATGTGACATTCTCCATCGTTGGGTTGCACGATACCGCCGAGCTGTAAAGTGAGATCAACAACGGAAACTTAAAAACTATTTTACGTAAAAGGTCTTTTTTTTAATAATAAATAGATACGTGTGTTGACAAGTCAATCTCTTTCTTAGTTTAGTCCGTTTAATCCTCGTTCATGAGTTACATAAAAATATTCCAAATATAGTATATTGTCCATATACATCACAATGAAATAAAATTCCTAACATGATATTGAGTATTTAATGTTGCTTATCGCGGGCAATATATAACGGGCAAGAAACTGATAAAACCTGTATGAAAACTAATTAAACATCTCGTTTATACCGCAGTCAGTGTTATCAATAAGCACATATACTTATCACTATGATCTTTATGGTTCTGTCATCATGAAGAATGAAAATATACGTACGATTAAATTAAAAAATTTGAAATAGGAACGGTATTTTTTTCGTTCTCATACGCGGCCCCATCGAGTGCCTCCCGTCGCCGGCGTCATCACAAAGAAAAAAAAAATTAAAAAAATAATGAAAATTTTGAAATTAGAACGTTTTTTTTTTCGTTAGCATTCGCGCCCCCATCACTCACCTTCCCGTCGCCGGCGTAATGGAAGCCCGCGTCCGTGGAGAAGACGAGCAGGCGGCGCGCTTTCTCGCGCCACCCGATTTCCCGCTGACACACGATCGCCTGCATAATGGCGTCGAAGCCGCCTTCCGGCGCGTCCAAATTGCCCGACACGTCGGCACCGGCCACCGCTTTCTGTTGTCAACGTTGGTTTGACGGTTGAAAAATTATCCCGCTTAATGTTTGACACCGTTTTTACAAATATACGGATTAACACTGATCAAGAGTCTTGATACAATTCTTTCTGTGTATAGGACTAACTCTAGGAATATATTTTTTTATTTACTTAATAGTTTTCAAAAATAACTATAAGCTAAATCTACTACAGTTAAATAAGTAGAATTTTAGAAGAAATATATTTATATATATTTTATCGTACGTCATCATCTATTGGTCATATTTTTCGTCAATGCAATATATTTTTGTATAAAAATTTCGACTAAAATAATATAATACCAACAGTATGCATGGATAATAAACTAAACACAATTGCATTCCATAATATGAGTGACGCACTTTCTAAGAATTTTGCCCCGCTTAATTCGACCGCTTTACTGCGCGTTTATCACTTTCGGATTACGCAACAAAAGCAGCGCAGACACCTTAAATGGTACGTAATATATCTGTGCTGTAAATTTGCCTCTTACTATATTATACTCAAATAAATCGACACTCACGTCGAAGAAGTCCGTATCGTTGCTAAGCGACATCTGGTTCTTAAAACCATATGGTGCGGCGCAGCCGTCGCAAGGGGAAATCAAACTGAAACAAGAAGACAAAACGCGCATTTAAGACGTTGAACTTAAATTGTTATTGTAGCTGATGATAGATTTTGTACAAAGTGACGGGCTTGATATTCTAATTAAAAATAGAAAACGCACAATAAATTCACTAGCCTTAGCAAATTTTGGCTTTATTTTACTACTGGCAAAATATGAGAAATACGAGGAATAATTAGCAATATAAACAATTCTAAGAATGATTGGTACAATTATGTTAACGAGAAGTCTTAACATTAAGCATTCATTTATAAATAACGCGACACTAATTTGAGGACATTATTAACTATATAAACGATCAAGGGCCTGAATCCAATGATAAATACTTTCGCGTTTCGTCTGGTGAATAAGGTAGCCAGAGCCCAATTTTCAAAAGGTTGTCAACGCATCTGTAACCTTCGGGTATAGCAGAAGTCCATGGGCGGCGGTATTCACTTAACATCAGGTGACCCGTCTGCTCGTTCGGCAACTTTTCACATAAAAAAATCCAAACATATGACTAATTAGAAAATATGAATTAGACAATTGTAGTTGTATAGGTTTTACAAATTTTGTGTCTTTTTATTTAACATTTGTGTTTTTTTTCGGCAATTAGTGTTAGAAGTGTGTCACATTTAAAGTGGCGGTTGTAACAGCATGCTTTATATACTTAATTATGTACATTTTTGGACACCTTAGGTCTCTTCCACAAACTTATGGACCATAATACAACTCAGCTAGGGGTGATTTTCGTATGTATATAATTATAAAATATAATAATATAATACGATTAATACGTACTTTTTCGGTACAGTGGACACGTAAGGCATGACCAGTTTATCGACGAATGACCCGAAGCCGATTCTGAAGTTGGAAGTAATGTTCCTCATGGTACTCGAGAGCAGACTGCCGAGCGTGCTCAGTTTGTCCTTGTCGTTCTTCATAGATCTACTGAGGTCCATAAGGTAGTACAGGTCTACTGGGTAGTCCTGAGCTTGGGCGTACGAGAATGTCATCTTATGCATCTGATCTAAAAGGAAAACGCATTATGTTAAAATCGTAAAAAAAAATCATATCCATTATGAGAACCTCACTCTCTACTTACTCATTCTGAGCTGCATTTTCACCCTCTGTGGCTTAATTTGCACCAAATTTTCACCGAATCCCGCACCACCGCCGCCTGAATATCCACCACCGGCCGAGTATCCGCTGCCACCCTTGAAACTGTTGCTGCTGAAAGATTCTTCGTAAAACGACGACTCCATGCCCGCGCCCATTCGACCCCTTGCTGAAAATGTTTTATAATTATAAAATTTTGGAAAAGACGAAAAAATAATAAGGAAAAAATAATTAAAATAGCTTCTGAAATCCAGAACATTCAAAAGACCAGGTCACATCTTGGATTTTATTTCAAACACCAAAGTACCAAAGTTGAAATAGCCTGAAAAGCAAACATACTTCTACTACAGCACAGAAGAGTGCTGTCAACAGATCGGCTAAAGCAATCCTTTGTTTCCAAGAAGATATTTTGAGGGAAGAAAAAAGCGAAGGTGACGAAGTGTGTATACAGTCGAAAGAAGTTACCCTAACGCACACTTCAAAAAGACGCCTAATCGCGTTAAGCGACCGACACTTGCCTCTGGTAAGCTCTTTGTTGTACATTTGATCTATGGAGCGTTGGTTGTCGGGGTTGAATATGTAAGCCTCGTCGCAGCCCGCGGTGCCGCCTTCCATCGCGGGGTTGAAGCACCGCGGCCCGTTGAACTCGGGGGCGAAGCACCACGCGCAGCTGGCGGTGCGGATGCAGTCGCTGCACGTGGTCTTGCTGGAGCAGGGGTTCTGGGCGAGCAGTTGCTCCGCCCGTTGAGCCCAACACGCCGCGAACAGGCCCGCCCACAGGCACAGCAGGAGACTGGACCGTTGCCCGAGCATTTCCTCTTTCGTTTCTCGTTTTCGGATCGATTGATCTGCAACAGTGATACGACGGAACTCAAACATAAACGTGACCACCCTTTAATGTTTGTAAACATTAAACTGTACCAATTACTGGATATTGATAGTAAAGATTATAATTGGCGGGAAGTGGTTCTATGGATGTTATTTCCGATTCAAATATGTATAGAAGCTATTATCAGAAAATACTAATGCAATTCCTTGGCGTTTTTAAACATTAGGGAAATCAAAAACTATTTATCGAATTACATTTACGACTGCGTACATACACGTATCACGTTCGATGATTTCAGAAGATGAATCATTTAAGTAAGTATATGAATCAATACACAATTATCAACGTCTGGTTATTGTGACTTCCGCAAAGTAGCTATTCAATATGTAAAAACATGGCAAATGTTTTTATTTTTGCATTTTCATATGTTATCTATTACCTTGCCACTCAAGTCTTTAGTGTCAGCACAGGCAAAAACTTAAATACCTACAGGGAATTAAAAAAGTAAATAAAAATCAGAAAATTGAAGCAAATAATTAAATGGCGAATATTTGCCAGACCTCATTATACAAAACGTTGAATTCGTTAATCTAATAAAAACTACTATTAGACGAGCATCAGGCATATCGCTGAATCTATTAGTAAAGATTGGTGCGGTAACTAAACTCCACGACCAAGTATTTTCTTAAGTTATCACTAGGTTCTCGACAATTCTAAATACCCGGATAGTTTTTATCGTTGTTGTATTAAATAAACCGATACTGAAATCAAGGTGAATTTGTATAAAGGAAATTGGGCTTATATTACGAGTATATACCAATACGCTAATAAGAAAAGGTGTGCACGTTGTGTTGTGGGCGCGAGCTAGCAAGAAAGGGCGCCTCCTACGCAGCGATATCGAGGTCACAACCAGGGCCACCACCATGACAAGTTTTGGTCCACTTCTTTGATAAGAAAAAAGTATCAAACGACCAAAACGCCCATGATTAAATTGTATTAAGTATTTGAACTAAAAGAGTGCAGAGACAGAATAATCTTTAAAATTTCAATCAACTTAGACCGTTTAAGATCAATGTCTGAGTTGGGTGTATGTATTATTACACTAGAAATCCGTTAGGCACTAATGATAACGTTAAAGGGCGTTGACAAGTGATTTAATTAACAGTTTACGCAACCCTGGTATATTCACCTCTTTATAGAGTCAGAAATAAAATAAACCCGCTTTTGCGGCTAACTCAGGTCGTAGGCGATCCATGTTCTTCTTCTATGACATTTGTACACTTTTTAATATTTTAACGAACTATTAAAAGGAAGTAAGAAAACTTCTTCACAACATAACTAGACGCGAAAGTATTAACGTGCGTATCCATGGTAGATTCAAATTCAATTTCTTTTTAATTTTTTGTTTGTTTTATCAATTTCCATTTGCGGAATAAATTATCATAATTACATAATAAATTTGTTCCTAAGTACATAAGCGCATTACTTTTATATTCTTTTACATTCTTTACTTCACAACAAATTAAACTGTAAACAATTTCCTATTTATGTATATGCTCAGCAATGTTAATGTATGGAGTGAATTGCATTCATTTTTATAAACACAGAAATTACATATAAACAAATGCAGTATAATATAGACGCATTACAAGATTTAATCATTTTCTCTTATCAAAAACTAGGTCAACGAATATACGTACGTATTTTGGATATGTAAATTTTCTCTGGTTCACACTTTACACCTTATTTAGTGAAGACAAATACATCAAATTTTCACAACCCGGCTTATCCAGAAATCGTATCAGATACCGTACTGGAATACTGTGAAAACTTGTATCACGGGTGTACTCTTTGATTTTTAATAAATTTGCACGAGTTTAGTCCTTACAATATAAGAACAACTATATAATATACCACACTTCACTCAAAGAACTATATAATAAGCCTTTTCAGGTTAAAATATAAAGAAAAAATGTTTTATACAATAAAACACTATCACCATTTGCACATTCACAAAAAACTTTGACGCTAAACTTTAAAGAGGGGCTTTGTTTAGCACTTATTGCTGCTTTATAAATAAATCGTAATAAAATACAAATTCAAAAATGGGAGCGCGAGTTGCGCGCGGCCGGTCAGCGCCGGATACATGCGTGACTAATTGTTCAGAAAATAACTTCGTCAGCGGGTGATACAGAAGGCGCCGTCACCGTTCTTCTTAGAACCGATATCCAGTCAATGAAATGGCGTTCTAAGCGAGGTGCGTTTCGATCACAACGCCAATCATAGCCATCTTCCACCATTAAAATATCGGCAACTCTTAGTACAAGAGTAATATTTACAAAAATAAACTTTTTAAACATTCCTTCACAAGTGTGAATATTTAAAGGATATTTCCAAATTCAGCGTTCAAAAACAAATCAAGGTTTTCGCGCGAGAAACGAGTCTGTGTAGGTCATGCGAGTTACGTCATAGAGTAACGAGCTGACCAATATAGTCATGACACAGGGTTTCATGGACATACCGCGATATGCTTTGAATGGTTTCGGGAAAATGTTCTTCTTAGCTATTATAACGAATATTGATTTAATTGAATAACAAATATTGATTAAGACGTAAACCCCTTCGTTAACATTTTCAATGAGCCAAGAAGGTACGACCAACGATCCTTATAGAACATCAGATTCAATTCAGTGCGACGATCACCAATATGGTATTGCTCGACGCCTTTGGTGCGAATATTTATTAATACAATTATTGTTTTGAATTTAATAGTGTTTCCACGTAAACTTAATAAGTAAGGTACACTGTTAAGTCTTCGGTCTTTATTATTTTATTCATTTACTAGCTGTTCCTCGCCCGCTTTGTTGAGTTATACCATCTTCTTTAAGTCAAAAAGTAAAGGTTCCAGATAAGTATCAGCAACATAATCATGTACTAAAACCTTCTCCGAAACTCGCTGCATTTTATAGTATACTAGCGACCCGCCCCGGATTCGCGCGGATGCAATGTATTATAGATTTAAACCTTCTTCTTGAATCACTCTATCTGGTAAAAAACCGCATCAAGATCCGTTGTGTCGTTTTTAAGATCTAAGCATATATAGGGACAGACAGAGAGGGGGACGAGTTTGTTTTATATGTGTAGTGAAGTTTTATCGGTTCAAAAGTTTTCGCAGGATAACCGAACAAAAAAACCCACTCTCCATTTATTAGTATAGATTATATGAAAATTGAAAACGTGAAATGCGACTCGTGTTTGCAGTATGCAATATCTATATCTAATTCATAACTTTTTCAATGGCGAAAATTTTCCTCATTAAAAAGTTATCTAATCAGACGACAAGAATTACGTTTTTCAAAGGATTATTAAATATTTATTGCGGTAAAACTACAGTTAAACTTTTACCGCAATATCCACTTGCGCAAGCCATCGAGCATTCGACGATAAGACGTACGCGGTCTATCGCAAAAAATAGTCCTCGTAAGGCATCAGGATTACGGTCTTGATAACAGAATCCCAGCTAGCTTAACCTGCAAGCAAGTTTCCATATATCGACGATAACGGTCGAGGGTGAACCGAGGGGGTCAATGACCGCACCCGACCGCCGGGCGCGGCGCCACCACTCTTCACCTAAATGTCCGTTCCATAAAATCACTGTTAAAATGATGTACCTATCGCTGTTTAAAACACATTGCTAAAGTAGTCGAATTTTAAAACCTCCATGTTTGATAAACACAATTAAAAAATGTCTTTTTTATTTAATTTCTATTAAGTAGGTGGTTCACCGAAAATAAAATCCCATTTTTTTGCTTGCAAAAATAACTTAATGCAAAAGATGCCTTCAATAATGTATTCTCCCAGAAAAATACACAATATTGACAAAATAAAGTAAGCTTAATATCTTTAAGCTTAAAGTTTATTATTTACCTTAAAAATAAAGTAAAAGTTCATTAAAGTTGACCATACAATTATTATGGTGTAAAATTCATACTGAAGTAACTGTATTTATAGACTTTGAGTATAATTTAAATTACAAAGAATAATAATTGATATGAATTATAATTCACATAAGAATAAATGATTTATTTTCTTTAATGTAATAACAAATCTCCAAACTTACTTGATGTTAGGCTTCAGCTTTGATAATAAAATCATTATAATGTCTCAAACAACAACACAAAAACAGACTATGAGGTATACTTCACTCATACATAAAAACTATTAAAGCTAAATGATCCTCAGCAATATACTAAAATAAAAAAAATGTTATATTTAACCCACTTTCTAAATAAGAGTGAAGTAGGGCCGCAAGTCTTCGCTGTTAAGCAAATGGAGATGCCCATTCGGGAATGTATCAGAAACTCACAGAAAATTGGTGTGAAATGGAAGTTTTATAGTTCTCCGATTCATCTGATGAGTGAGCTAACTGCTCACGTCAGACGTCTATGCGCGGCGGTTATCGCTTAACATCAGGTGAACCGCCAGCTTGCTTGCCACCATCTCACATAAAAAAATTATGTATTTTATAAATTTCATTTTTCTTTAGATCCAGTAAATAACTACAATGTTTATATTTTTACCATTTTCTTTTATTAATTACAAGCTTCATTATATAGGTAGCTATTAACTTATCTGTTGTTTTAAAATATGAATAACACATGTCTCACCATAACTGCATGATCTGTTCTTGTCTTCATAGCGATTTTTACGGTAAACAAAAAAACTAAAATAATTTCATTTTATTTTAGTACTTGGATTACCGTACCTATGAAGTTGGACCGAATAGCACCGAATAGGCAGAGTAAATAATTATGACTTAACTATGTTTGAACTTAAAAAGACTCGGACGTCAAGACCGCTGTATTACTTGTAACTAATTTTAGTTTTTCGCTGTTACTACTAATTTTGTTTCTTTTTTTTGTTAAAAACTAGTACAAGATTAATCTCGATTGGTTTCGAAATCGACTACAAAAATGGGTACTACATTAACGCCATATCTCAAGACTTAAATTGTGGTTGGGAACATTATTTACTTACTGCTCTTACTATATTTCAGTCTTCAACATAGCACACAATTTTAAAATCCCATTTCTATTAGAAAGCAATAAAATGTATATACATAAACTACAACATTAAAACAATTTCCAAGGTAAATAAATTATTCACTCAACCTGTAACAATCAACTATATCAGTGTTACCAACTCTCGAAAATATTTGTCCCTAAAGTTTAAGTCAAAAACCCCTTAAGAAAATAATATTATTAAAAAATAAATAAATAAATAGTAAGGATATTGCAGCGAAAAAGTTGGTCTTATAAAAAATGTTTAAACCTAAATTGCAGGGAATTTAATTATATAAAAGAAGTGTGTGTGTTTACTTATGTACACACGTTAGAAGTTATACTTCTTTGACGTAACAAGATAAAAATCTTTCCAAAAATTTTATCTTTTGTTTTTGTCTTTGTTTGTAGAGAAAACGACACTAACAATAGAAAAAGGTATTAAATACATTGAAAGTTTTATTACAACGCATTATCTAGTTAAATAGACGCAAAAAGGCCGATCGGGTGACCTATGTTGCGCTTCAAGGATTGCGTCAAGCGTGATATGATGTCATTTAACATCCCAATCCATTAATGGGAAGAGCTTTAAGCAAACCGAGGCAAATGGCGTAAACTTGTTCAAGAAGGCCAATCAAAGCATGACGAAACTTGGTTCGACTCTTAAAGAAAAAGCGCACAGGTAGTCACGAGTGAGCTGCCAACCCCAAACAACGAGGGGGCTTCACTTGCCGTGGGTGCGGCCGAGAGATCGCCTCTCGGATTGGCCACTTCAGCCACGAGCATAAATGTTACGTAAATCATCTGTCATAAATGCTAAGGCCTATTAATGTTATTTAAATATCACAAAATAAATGTCGTGAATACAGTTGTCAGTTCTCACGCAAACATATGTAGACATCTAGCTAACTTCAGGGTGTCAGTTTTTCGTGACGGTGTACGCGCGTAAAGTAAAAATTTACTCTCATCATTTTTCACTAACATTTCAAAAGTAGTATAGAAAAATTGCCTGTTATGATTTCTTAAGACGACCAATATTTTTACGGTAATTCCAAAAATGAGATTCATAATGAATGAAAAAAAAATTAGTTACTTTTGGTGTTTTCTTTAAAGTCCGATTTAGATTGGTTAAGGACAGTGGCGAATAGCGACAATAAGTACAGTGGCCAGTGGTGGGCCACGGGACAAGTGGCTGTTTACACTACAGCAAGTACAGTGGCATTTCTCTATCGAAATCGAAATGGACGAGCAGTACGTGCAAATATTGCTGCCTCTTGCCGGCCACTGTACTAATTTGACTGTTTACACTACGGCAAGTGACGAGTCAACTGCTCCGTGAGGGTTAAACAGGCGCGCGAGGGATGCAGTTACACCAAAAAATAGAAAGCGATTCTATTTCTTAGTAATGAAAAACCGTATTAGATGTCGCTAGGTCAACAAATAAATATGATGGGGAGATTGCATTACTCCAGGTTTAATACCTTTATTTTTCTTAATCAAAGAAAATAAAAAGTAATAAAGGGAAAAATCCCTTAAAATAACCCTAAAAATATAACGACCTTAAAAAAATCCCAACGCGTTTGTTTACCCCCTAAATTTGGGGGGAAAACCTCTAAGTTGGCAGCTTTGAACTAGCAACACAGATAGTGTTGCTAGAAACAAAACAACCCATAGCCACAGAGAAGTTATTAAAAATTAATTTAATCTTGCTGATCCGGAAAACGCTGTGTTTCCATATAACTATTTCTAGGGAATTTATGTATTCGAACACATAGAAAAAGAACTTTCGGAACCTATATTACAATTTTCCATGCAATTTTTCCATAATTCCATTGTTTACCTTTTCTGGACTGCCACAAATATTTCAAAACTAAAATTAGCCAAATCGGTGCAGCCGTTCTCGAGTTTTAGCGAGACTAACAAATTCATTTTTATATATAAAGATAAAAGGATAAGGTTTTACCTGCCTTTCAATAATTTATCATAAACTTATGGTCGCTTCAGAACTTTTATAATAAAATTTGGTTTTTCATTAATTAAATTCAAAATTATTTGGTAAGACATTTACTAACTGTTTTTTCTTTTACTTTCATGTTTTTGTTTCACTACTTATTTTGAGACTACAAGAACCACAAACTACACTTCAGTTCTAGGTCTGGTATTAAGTATATAATACATAATATAAAAAAATTCAACTGACGTTGTTATGTCAGTTATCAAGAATTCGATCGTAAACGTAGTGATTACATTCTCTTTGAATTCGATAAATACGTACTACTTACTAAAAATAGGTACTATAAGGTAGATAGGTACGTTAGTACTTTGTTACATTTTTCATGCTTTGGTTGCAGTAGCGGTAAGAAGCTGGTTAAAGAAATATGGTATGAATATTCGTCGTTATACTCAACTATTTATCAGTTTATATAAAAGATCACAATTTACTACGAGCATTTTAACTAATTGAAGTGATATATTTTATTTATTTATATTATTATATTATGTGTTTGTCAAAAACCATGACACTAATAGTATCAAAATATAAGCAATGATATTATATACTTAATACAAATACGAGGTAGATAAATGACACTAGCGCACCGAAACTGAGACGCTAAAATTACGCCAATTAGAGTAACTAGAGTGCAATTCTATCAAAGACCTTACACTTACCAAGATAGATACTTACTCGTTTGTAAGTATGAGATCTTTGAATTTTATAGACTTCTATCTCTTTCCGTATTAAATGTTCTATAACATAAATTCACTTATATATGTCATAATGTAAGGTGCAACAATTTTTGAACGCCGCACAGTATGAACATGCGTCATCTTCATTAAAACATCATTGTAAAATAAACATTATTAGTTTTTCTTTTTTTCTAATTGGTGTGATTGAGGGGAGGGCCCGCAATTTTAAAAAAATAAAAAATGGCTGTATTTAGTACATATACAATGCTGTAGTTTTTCGATATGTTTTCGCATGCGGTTCGAATGAATTGTCAAGTAATATATTGGCTATGATTTTTTTCAGTTTTTTTTGTTACTATCATGTGGTTTCAGAAGGATGATTGGGATTTATCATCAACTTAGAATTCCATAATTTATAAAATATCAACACTGCTAGACTTCGAGATATCATAAACTCCTTTTGCGTAATTGGAAGAATAAATAATTGATGGTAGCTCGGGCTAACTGTAACATTGTAACGTAAACATCTCGGTCCGTCCCATGAAATTGAACGCTGAAAAGGGTTCAAAACGTCGTAAATTTAAAAATCTGACTAAAACACGATAGGTAGGATAGGTAGGTAGGATACACGGTAGGATTGCATTCATTTCGTTGGACAAAGTGCATTTAAATGAATACCTGTTTGGGTTCGATAAACAATTATATTGGCTTATATCGTTGAAACTTCTGTTAAGTACTACGATGAAACGTGATATAAAGACTGGAATATCTTCACCATCTTCAGCCGAAAGATGTCCACTGTTGAACAACGGACGCCACAACGAATGACTAATTGCAATTTGCATCCACTGGTTGCCCATCGACTTTACGGTGTCGTTAGTCCACCTAGTGCGAGGCTATCCAACGCTACGTTTTCTGGTTTCTACTAGATAACTTTTATCCCCATTGATCTTGAGCCATGTGGTCTGCCCATATTACCACTTCAACTTGTAAATCTGGAGGGTTATGTCGTTGTCTGCTTCTTCGACGAATTTCCTCGTTCCAAATTTTGTTACGCGAAGAAACTTCGAGTATAGCTCTCTCGTGGTGTGGTTCTGTGCTCCTCTAACAGGCCAGCTTTTAAAGACCAAGTCTTTGTGCCTCACGTCATCACTAGCTACACACCCTTGTCTTCAGATACTGCGGAATGAGAGAAGATATTGAGTAATTTCCCGAATGCAGAATTATTCAAGCATCGAGCGATATCGCTCAAGTCTCAATTGAATCGAAGGCTTTGTCCACAAACGTTAAACCCAATAGCCAATTATTCTAATCTCTGTATAATCTGGCGGTGCATGTGGATTTAGTTTATGGTGCAAAACAGTTTCCAGAACCCGTCTCGTTCGGGAGGCTGGTAGTAATCAAGAGACGATTCGTAATGACTCTAGAAAATAGCATATATACACGGCTCAGGGGCAAAAAGAGTCATCTTCATGAAGAAAGGCACCAGCGTACCCCTATGCCACGCTCTTTCCACTCCTAGGTTATAAAATTTAAATTGTTTATTATAGATTTAATTCACGTTTAAGAATTAATCAGTTCCATCAAAAATTTCATATTATGTCTATTTATTTGATGTGTGAGTTTTTAAGTCTAAACATGATGCTGATTTATTTGACGTTCTAACTAAACCTTTCTTATTTATTTCTTTAATCTTTATTGCATATCTTTAATTCGGAACACAATAGGCGGGCTTAATGTCTTTAGGCATTCTCTGCCAGTGCAGGTGCAGTAAAAAAGTGATTAAAATTATACAATAATAAACCAAAAGAGTAACATATATACTTTTATATACAAAAGAAAAAAAATATAACATGTTTTTTTTTTTCAATTTTAAAGATATACATAAAAGTTATATATAAAACGGAAGAAAAAAACAAAAAGATTGTGAAATTAAATATTTCACATGACATTTCAAGTCTTCAAGAAATGATCACGTAGCTTTTAAAGGAGCACTTACTGGGCGCTTTTCGATTGTCGACGGACAAGGAATTCCAGAGCAGTGGGGTATGCCTTGACTATATAGGAGTCACTCAAAAATCCGGTGAGATGTGGCGGAATAGTTATCTTGTTATTAGTAGTAAACAGAAGAATTTTATCTTTAGATAAGGAGAGATACTGAAACTTATCCCTTAAATATGAAGTTGAAGAGGATTGGTTCAAGACGGAAAACAAAATAAGAAGAATTCTGGAATGGCGCCTCTGTCAGAAAATCAACCATTTAAGCTGGGATCTGGGTCATACTTGCGCAGACCAAAAATAAAACTGATGCAGTTATTCAGAGTGCGGGAAATCATTCAACAGATCAAACAGGACAAACAGGTCGTAAGCTATCAACATTAATCTTGGCCAGCATCCTTGAGCTTCCTGTTAGCATCGCCTGACACTTATGACGATTGACAAGCACTTCATAACGAAATGACCAGTCCTTAATTTTTTATAAATTATGGTTTATTGTTTCAATCGCGTTATGGGTTTTCGCGTATTAAGGTCATTAATATAAGATTGGAGGCGAAGCTACAGGTCGTTGGTAGGCATACATATGATACGAAAAATTAAATTGGGATATAATCTGGTAGTAAAAACTAAGAAAATAGGTAATAGGAGGGAGTATTCCGCCTTGTGGACCAGTTTCAAGGTTATCCCACGATGAGGTATGACCTATGTTAATTGGATGCTGACGTCCGCGAAGATATTATGTGAACAATGCTAAGGCAGATGGTACGAAATTCAAATAAATTAGGATGTCAATGATATCGTGGTCGACTTTTGAGAAGTCAATAAGCACCATCACTGTTATCTTTTTATCCTCCATACCACTTCTTATATTATCAGTAACTTTAATTAAAGTAGTGGTGGTGTTATGAACAGGGCGAAACCCAGACTGATAAAGAAAGTTGCTTGTGTAGACAGTCCTCAAGAATTTTGGACAAGAAATGCATTGGGAACTTTAGGTTAATGGACGTGCATTCCAGCGCGAAGGGTTTTACCGGAATCCAGGAAAAAAATAATTATATGAATCAATGCTAAATATGATCCAATATGGTGACAATCATGAATCTACTGAGCTCATCACAACCCTTGGATGGGCCAGTGCAATATAAGCTATAGATTGATATCGGATTTTAGGGTCCATTGGGTTGTAGAAGCAAAGTGGAGGTTAATCTAGTGAAGTGAAAGAAAAGGATCACAATCTAGAACGTTTGGTTTTCCAAATTTCCATTTTCAGATTTTAGAAATTTCTTCATGTCAGCAGGAGAAGAGTTAATTATACTATTATGGAAATTTCGGTGTTTAGCAGCCCCATTTGATTACACCTGTTTCTACCTTTATAAAGGAAGACCATTTCTGTTCTGTCTTTTAAATAATAATAATAATAATAATATGCTTTATTGTACACCAAAAAAGAAAAAAGTACAGAACTAAACAAAATATTTATCAAATATTGGTCATCAAAAGGCGACCTTATTGCTACACAGCAATTTCTTCCAGGCAACCTCAGAAATGAATCAAAAGAAATTCTTATTGGGTAGGATGTACAAGAAATATCACAATCGTGAAATTAAGTAAAAAGTAAGTTGCAACAAAAGTTAAAGTAATAAGAAAAACATACCTCTTGTGTGTGATCATCAAAGTAAGAGTGAAATAAAAAGAGAAGAAAGACATCGAGAGATAGAAAGGAGCTAGACAGAGAGATAATGCTTCTTAACCTGTCTTTTAACGAATCTAGGGTTTGAGCACGTTTAATAGCCAAAGGTAAAGAGTTCCAGAGTTTAACAGCGACAGCAGAGAAGGATTTATGGTAAAAACTAGTTGATCGCAAAGGATTTTTAAGGAAGAGGTTTTCATTTGAACGTAGCGGAAGTTTATGAGAGGAGCAAAGAAATTGAAAACGTTCCTTCAAATAATCCGGACTTGATACATTAAATAGGACGCAGTAAAGAGCAGAAAGAATATGAGTATTCCGGCGAAAACGAATCGGGAGCCACTTGAGCTTAATGCGATATTCTGATACATGGTCATATTTACGAAGTCCAAATATGAACCGTATACATAGATTTTGGAGTCGCTCAAGTTTATTAAGCTGCTCCTCAGTGATGTCGAGATAGCATATGTCAGCATAATCAAGAATAGGGAGCAGTAAAGAATGGGCAAGCGTAATTTTGGTTGAAATAGGTAAAAAGTAGTTCAACCTTCTAAGCGAACCACATGCTGCAAATAATTTACGAGCGACTGCATTAATTTGAGGGGTCCATGAAAAACTTGAGTCCATCAGTATACCCAGATTTCTAACAATGTCATTTTAAGGGATTACGATGCCATTAAAAATAACCGGGTCAATTTGGTTCTTATTTAATTTAGTGATATTTCTTGAACTCCCAATTATTATGGCTTGAGATTTTATAGGATTAACAGTCAAACCATATTGTCGGCTCCAGTCAAGAATACAAGCCAAATCCCTATTAATAATATCCACAGCTTTCGGAAGATCCTCCACAGTGGTTTGAGTGTAAATCTGGAGATCATCTGCATACAAGTGGTAGAGAGAAGATATTTGGGAAGTAATGGTATTAATGAAAATTGCAAATAGCAGTGGGGATAACACGCCACCTTGTGGAACACCAGCTACAGTATCAAGCCATGAAGAAAATCTGTCCTGAACTCGAATACGCTGCTGGCGTCCATACAAGTAACTATGAAACCAGGAAATTGCAGTTGGAGATATGTTACGAGAACGCAGTACACCTAACAGAATGTCATGATCTACAGTATTAAAGGCGTTGCTGAAATCCAGCAAGACCAATACTGTGACTAGACGACTGTCCATTCCGAAGCAAATGTCGTCAGTGATTTTCAAATTATAATATTAAAAATATTTTTGTTAAATTTAATAAAAGCATGTTTACGCCTAGCCATTGCCAACTTTGTGCCAGTCAGTGTTTTGTATTTATAAAATTGTTTTAGCTTTTTTTATCAATCGGTCCTGCGTTCCGATAAACACGTTTTTTATTTTAAATATTCATTAATGAATTACGAATAAACAGCACATGAATGTGTTAAAATAATTTTATTCGGGAATAGATTTTGAACGCAACTCTAAAAAGAGAATGTTGGTAACTGATTGATTTTTTTCGTGACGTTGGCCACATTTTTAGCCAACCAATAAACATCCAGTTTGAGGCCTTTCTTCTACGAAGAATATGGCCGACATTTTGATATTGCTGTCATGAAGATTTCCCAGTGACAAAATCTAACTTTGTAGTTCTTCATGCACGGTTTTATGTTCCAGTAAAGTTTTATTTTTTTAATTGCATAGACGGTGTTTAGTGTAAGCTTATTAATTTGAAAAATGGCAGCTGATCGAGAAATAGCTGCTGAAGACAGCATTAGAGTCGTTTGCCGATTTCGGCCCCTGAATGACTCCGAAGAAAAAGCTGGTTCCAAATTTATTGTGAAATTCCCTTCAGGCCCCGATGATAATTGTATTTCTATTGGGGTATGTGAGATTTTATTACACCCTTTTCGTTGGTGTTCTCTATCATCGCCCTAATTTAGATCATGATGACTAATACTTTATGACTTGTGTTCACTTGCTACGAAATGGCCTTTCTTTTCTATTCCGCTTCGATGATTATGATGGCTATTGCAAAAATGTACAGTATCGCCCCGTATTTTATCCAAATTGACCACAAATCTCTGCCCTTACGAAAATCAATACAAATACTTTCTCGACCTTGACCCGAGGGTATCCTTCGGATATTTTGTAAATCTACAGCTTTATTTGTTTACCTTCTTATAATGCTCTGTAATATTTAATCGTGGTAGAGGAAGTAAAACTTAATTTTTTTCTATGCTAGTATTTTTTTGTTTTTCTATCGTAAGAAATTCGCTTGCATAGTATTTAAGACATATAAACTGTAGTTTTTAATTTGTAAAATATCTCCGATTATGTCATTTTCAAAAATTGAGTCAATCTGTACATGAAAAATAGTTGCAATTTATTATTAAAGATTTTTTGTCTGTGAAAGGTATGATTCTCCTGATTCTCAAGGTGTTATTATTTATTTGTAGGTGGAACTTTTATATTCAATGTATATTTTTTCTTTAATTTCAGTTCTTATTTAAGATTTTTTTTTAACTAAGAAAGTCATCTTTCAAGACACTCAACTTTTGTTCAATTATTAAAAGCGATCCTGTGCTTCTTTTTTTATTAAAGGGTAACAATTCATTTATTTGTAGGGAAAAGTTTATCTCTTTGATAAAGTATTTAAACCCAATGCAACTCAGGAGAAAGTTTATAATGAGGCAGCAAAAAGTATTGTATCCGATGTACTGGCTGGATACAATGGGACAATATTTGCTTATGGACAGACAAGCTCTGGTAAAACACATACAATGGAAGGTGTCATAGGTTAGTAAAATTAAACTCATGTTTGCTATAGTTTGTTAACATAAATTCTTACCTCATATTGTTTTTATTTTAGGAGATCCTGGGAAACAGGGTATTATTCCACGGATAGTCAATGATATATTCAACCACATATATGCAATGGAAGAAAATCTGGAATTCCATATAAAAGTATCATATTTTGAAATTTATATGGATAAAATCAGGGATCTCTTAGACGGTACTGTACTACCAATAAAACATTGTGATTATAAATTGGGGATGTTAGCATTAAAACATACCATTATATTTTCCAGTTTCAAAGGTAAACCTTAGTGTTCATGAGGACAAGAATAGAGTTCCATTTGTTAAAGGTGCTACTGAACGGTTTGTATCAAGTCCAGAAGAAGTATTTGAAGTTATAGAGGAAGGCAAATCAAATAGACATATTGCAGTTACAAGTATGTATAATAAAAACTGTGTTAAATCGTGCTTGCATTAATAACAATAGTAATATTTAATTATTTTTTCCAGATATGAATGAACACTCATCAAGATCTCATTCAGTCTTCCTTATCAATGTGAAGCAAGAAAACCTGGAGAATCAAAAGAAGTTATCAGGAAAATTATATCTAGTGGACTTGGCTGGTTCAGAAAAGGTTTTGTAAAATGACACTATACTCCTGTCATGTAATTTGTTACATCTAATAAATATATATATTTTTTTTCTTTTTAGGTTTCTAAAACTGGTGCTGAAGGTACTGTGCTTGATGAGGCCAAAAATATCAATAAATCCCTTTCTGCCTTGGGTAATGTTATCTCTGCCTTAGCAGATGGGAATAAATCTCATATCCCTTACAGAGATTCCAAACTAACTCGTATTTTACAAGAATCACTTGGTGGTAATGCTAGAACAACTATTGTCATTTGCTGCTCACCAGCTTCCTTCAATGAGAGTGAAACAAAAAGTACCCTTGATTTCGGCAAAAGGTCAGCTGATAACAAATTATCAAATATTGCAATTATTACATATTGTTTCTTTTACCGTATCTTTTAAAAATTCAAAATTTTTGTTTTGTAGAGCTAAGACTGTCAAGAATGTTGTGTGTGTTAATGAAGAACTTACAGCTGAAGAATGGAAACGCCGTTATGAGAGAGAAAAGGAGAAGGTGGCTAGGCTTAAAGGGAAGGTAATAAATGACTCCATTTAGTTATATAATCAATGCATAATTTTACGAACGAGAATAGCTCAAGAATTAAATATTTGAAATTAGGTTGAGAAATTGGAAGCGGAAATTAACCGGTGGCGTTCTGGTGAGACTGTGAGACCAGAAGAACAAGTCAACCTTCAGGAAATTGAAGCCGTCACTCCGGTTACATCCTTCATTGAAGAAAAACCTCCTGCACCTGTATGTATATTCAGTTAGCAATTTTAAATTGTTTAATATTACCGTGATAGCTCAGTGTCCTGGAGCTCGCTTTTAATTTAATATAATAGAGCAAACTCCCTTCGGTCCTTTGTGCCAGCAATAATAAAATTGTGAATTTTAAGTGCTGACTGTGATTGGATTGTTTGATTTGACCTGTGAGTCAGTGATTGGATTGGATAATTTAAAGTGCTGACATCACATGCTCAGCATTGAAGGAAAACATTGTGAGGAAACCTGCATAATAATGTGTTTCAATAAACAAAAGATCTACTTCAAAAATTTGTGAAGCCTGCCAATTTGCAGTGGGGTCATTGATGGACAACTTTGTACTAATACCCTCTGTAAAGCCCAGCACTTAACTTGACTTTACTAATAAATTATTTATATTCCTAACATAACTAGAACTCTTCAATGTTTCCTAAATAATTTTTTTTTATTATTTGAGGTATTTCTGTTATACTATTGAGATAAGATTAGATCATTGGTATTTATTGTCCATTTAGCCTGTGCCAGTGGCTGTTGCTAGTGTGGTTGAAGATGCTGCTATGCAAGCTAAGCTAGAAGCACTTTACCAGCAATTGGATGACAAAGATGAGGAAATCAACCAACATTCACAGCTTGTGGAGAAACTCAAAGACCAGATGATGGAGCAAGAGGAACTTATTGCTTGCACAAGGTGATTTCTTTCAAATTAAATTGTATTGCTTACATTGCATAAATAAATTGATTTTTAGGAATACTTTACATCTTATATTCATCCTTGTAATCATTTTATGTCTTGTAGAAGATATTTTACTTACAGGGAGAAGATATTAACAATATCTTAATTTCCATGTATATTTTTATAAAGCCAATCAATTTTGTAGACGCGATTATGAAGCACTTCAGGGTGACATGAATCGCATCCAGCAAGAGAATGAGGCAGCCAAGGAAGAGGTTAAGGAGGTTCTGCAGGCTTTGGAGGAACTTGCCGTTAACTACGATCAGAAATCACAAGAAGTCGACAGCAAGAGTCGCGAATGTGACCAGCTGTCAGAAGACCTCCAAACAAAACAGGTAACTTACCATTATATCCTTACTATAATGCAATTGACTTTGACTAAGCAATTTGAAAACTCGTACCTTATATTATGTATACTTTTATGTCGTCATTTTATTTACTGAACACAAAAAAATGCTTAATATAAAGTATTTTGGAAATAACTAATATGCTTTTATGTTTAGTAATATCTATGACTTATTGGTGTTTTAGTTAAGGTATAGGTGAAGTTGAATGGTCTACCATTAAAATAAATTTGAATTACATTTTAATTGATTTAATATCCTACAGAGTGCACTGGCTAGTGCCACATCGGAGTTGCAGCAGCTGCGTGATCTCTCCGCCCACCAGCGCAAGCGCATCGCCGAGCTCCTCACCAACCTGCTGCGCGATTTGGCCGAGATCGGCGCCGCGGTGGGCGGTTCCGAGCTAGACTTCAAGCTGAACGTGGACACTGTGGGAAAACTTGAGGAGGAGTTCACAGTCGCCCGGCTGCACATCAGCAAGATGAAAAGCGAGGTCAAGAACATCGTGCAGCGTTGCCACTCCCTGGAGACAGCCAACATTGATGCCAACCAAAAGGTAACCCACCTTTTTTCACAAGAGTTCTCAAAGTTACTTCATTACGCAGTATCTATGTTATCTAGTCAGTTTTTGATGTTTTAATTTCTATTTAAATTTGAGATATTATCTAATTTAATCAATTTAACAGACTAAGATGATGCATCTACCATTGCTTATAGTTATCCAAAAATACATCAGATGAAAAAAATTATACCCATAAAATATTTGGTTTTATTTAGGCTATAGGACATTGCATTCCCTGTTGAAGATTGAAAAAGTTAACAATGGCAAGGAAACCGCTAAAATTATTATACTCATTGGTTTGTTGTACTTATTATCTGATTTTTTCTACAACTAATTAACTTAAATTTTTGTTTGCATATCATTATTACACATAATTATTATTAAAATAAACTTTACATGTAATCACTGAGTGTCCAACAGCAGGCATAACTCAGTTGTGTTTGATTTGGGAAACATAATTTTAAAAGCACCATCAGCCACACCTAACCAAAGTTGGTAACCGTGGAAACCCAGACTCTTAGCCTCAACTTTGTTAGGGTGTTAATTTGGAGGAGGCTGTCTAGATTCGAAAGGGAGGGCTACAAAGTAGTCGTTACGACAACTAAGCATAATCACACTACCACCACGCAACAGCCTTCACTGTTACACGAATGGACCAATCCATCTAGGGCAGTAGCACAACCTCACCAAAGACAGATGAGAAGTGGAAGTGTTATACTTCTGCGTTTCGTCCGGTGAGTGACATAACCGTGGCGCACTTTATTACAAGGTACCAACCATGTTATTCTACGGGGATTGCTAATCTACATGGGCGGTTATCACTTAACATCAGATGAAATGCCAGCTCGTCTTGCCACGTTCTCAAATAAAAGAAATCTGTAGATCGAGGAGTACGAGCGGTCGCTCGGCGAGTGCCGGCTGCTCATCTCGCAGCACGAGGCGAGGTGCGCCTCCCTCGCTGAGTCAATGCGTGAGGCGGAAAACAAAAAACGCCAGCTGGAGGAAGCGGCAGACGCGCTTCGTGAGGAGTGCGCCCGTCTTCAGGTGAGCGTTGGTTGCCATCAATTTATCCAGTATTCAAGAATAACTGCCATACCTACCGTTGAGTTGGTGAGATAGCTCTATATCCTTTTGGGACTAACTCAGTATATGCAAGTTTATCATAGTGGTTTGATGATCCCATGGGTATTGGGTCCGGACTAAGTAAAAACTATTTTTTTCTAAACGAGATAGATCGCAAGTTATGTATGTATAATAATAGTTGTTTGGTTTTGGCGGTTCGAGGTTAAATTTATTTTCTGGTAAGCAGCACTTGGCCAAAGTAAGTCTGAGTACTACCGATGTACAATAATCAGGGAATACCTGCAGGTGGACTAGGACCATTTTAGGCATACTTTCTCTGAGCCAGCCCGCACAAATATTTGCGTGCCAATGCAATTGCCACCTTCTCAGGTGGTATCGATCTTCGTTAAACCTGAAAGAGCTTTCTTTCGTACGAAACACGTTTTATCAATATCATGGTAACATTTTCTTTTTAATTATCTCCAAAACCCCGCTGCAAACACAGCTGTTTTTACTTTGTGATCAAGACGTTATTGTTTTGTTTGAACAATGGTTGACGATTACTTTCTATATGCAACGAGCCTTGAAGCCTCCAGCCACTTGTGGTGGTATTTGTGATGATATATTTATGCTTGTGTTAGGAGCGTGAACCCCACTCAGTTAACAGCTACCGATCGACCCTTGAGCCCGATCACTCCATGGAGCGTCCGCCAAAGCGCCCTAAGAGCTTGGCGGCCTCCAAAACCGGTGAAACTAATAGCGTGACGGCCCGAGCCGAGGTTCCCTCAGGAGCCCTCGAGCTTAGTCACCATAACGCGTAATAATAATACGCGAGGTTCAGGCTAGGCCTCGAGCGCCCGGCCCCCTCAAGTCCGTCGGATCTGTAAAGGCCCCTAAGGCCAACAGTGGCTCATCCAGCCCAAAAAAAAAAAGGAGCGTGAATTGCTAGAAGAGTATAACAAAAAAAAAAGAAACTTCGTCATTATCTTACTATACCAACTTGGTTACACATAAGTATTCCTGTAAGTTTAAGTTCTTCAACATAACATGGTATAATTTTTTTAAACTATTTCGCACGTTTTCCGTGCAGACTGAAAGCGCTAACTTTGTATTCGGTCTTATTTTCGTAATCGGTAGGATTCCGTAACTGTTCCATTATTTTTAATTATAAATAATTAGTCTCCTCACCATAAGTCTAACATGTTAGCTCACTGTTCTTTAACATTTCGTTGGGTACACATTTCATAATCGATTGTAATAACTAAACACCTACATTATAAGTGGGACATGAACATCGTGTTAATTTCGTTTGCTAATGCATGGGTTGCATTCAAACATGTATAGATTGGTTAGTGAATAATGTTTGAAGAATGTGTGAGACTTCGGCCAAGGCCGCGCTAGTTAATTAACTCCCACTAAAGTCCTTGTTATTTGTGGCAGGAAGTTATACAGCGTCACAAAATCCTACATTTCGAGTGTGTTACAACGACTAATGTTTTATTAAACTAAGATTAGTTCATATGTGTGAAGGTATCCACCTTATTTTATTTTTTAAGACAATCTGTTACTTAAAATATTTCAGACTTATTTCTATATACAAAAGTAAAGTTTGATGTTTAAAAAACACATGTAACACGGTTCCAAAAAGAGCATAATAATTATACATAAATTAATAAATTTTTGTGGATTACACCACTCCTTCTCCGCCAAAAGTGTCCATTTCCGATTACGTAACGCCTGCAGTGCGCTTTTAAAAATAACAGATGACGTCATTACTTTCTTTTAAGAATATAACGAAATTAATGGAGTACATTTCATAAATTGTTACTTTTACACAATTAAAACGAACTTAATTGCCGTGTTCCACGTCAACGAGCGTGAAACTATCATCAAATTACACAAAGCGTAACTATGCACGTCTGAATATGATGACCATAAAGACGTTTAAATTTGAAATGGCGGATACATTCGGTCTTTCATGAAAATGTACTAGATGAAGTGGCTCTTGTAGCTGACGGAATATTAAAACCATTTATTTTTATATGTCTAACAAAATACAAATCATTATTATATCCGATTTACCGACGATTTTCCCTATAACGTATCTAAAGTTGTTTCGACTCGTTTATATTATATTGATCATATATTTATGTTCTAAATGCTCAAGTCTAATTTACGAAACGTGAAATATACGGAGTTCTAGGTAATTTCCTGGCAGCCTAAAGTGACCCAATTTAGCAAGCCTAAAATGCTTATGATTATCTAATGTAATTAACCGTGTTATAGTCTCTAAACATCTAGGTTAAACTTAGAGCTTAAATATTACGAAGTATATATTTAAGCTCATATACAGCGTGTCGTTACCATCGCGACAATAAAAGAACACACGTCTAACGCTACTTGCCAATAATCATAAAAAAATATTAATGTTAAACAAAATCCATAATAAAAAAAATATATTTTTCAAACAAACTAATTCAGTAAAAAAGTAGCCAAATTTGTAACATCCTATACAACTCGCGCCACAGCGTCGTATTACAAGCCTCTCCTTCTAACAGTATGTTTTGTCTCTTTTAAATTCATTCAACCCATTCATATGCTTTGTGACCTTTACATACGTTACGCTTTTATAGGTAAGGCTGTTCTAAAATTCTTTGTTTTGTAAAATTTAATAACTCTGTAAATATTGATGTTTAAAGAATTTAAATGTTTAATACAACTTTAAAAAGTTATCCCCTATATGTGTGTTCATTTATTGTCGCGATGGTAACGACACGCTGTATATATATTAAGCATTGCCCCTTAGCATAAACTTATCCTGTGTTGTATGGACGTTTTACAAACATAAATTTCCCGTGGACAAACACCCAGATGCGAAACAATTATCTGTGGGTCACACAAATAGTTGTCCCGTGTGAAAATCGAACCCATGCACGCGACGCCGAAGCGAATGCCTTGGTATTATTTTTCCCTGTGCTCTCATCTACTGAAACGCTTGATGATAATATCATGTTTGTACAAAGGCGGCGGAACGGGTGCAACTGGCGGCGGCCGAGCAGCGCGCCGACTCGCAGCTGCGAGGCGCTCTGGAGGCGCAGTTGGAGCAGCTGCGCGCCTCGCACACCACCCAGCTGTCCGGCCTGAGGGACGAGCTCGCCGCGCTACAACGCCAGCACCAGGAGCTGAAGGAGTAAGGCCCCTCGCTCTTACATCGAATATCTCTCGCTCTCTCTAAACACACCGATAGCTCAGTGTATCGGCGCTCGCCATTAATTCAGTATTCTCTGGCTAACAGAGTTGAAATCCCGGTGCCAGCACTAGTGAAATATTAGAGCTGACATGTCATATGATCAGCAGTGAAGGAAACAATTGTGAGGATCCAATTGCTACGAAACTTAAAGAATAACCCATGTACAAATCGGTACAACCGTTTAGAGTCATTAAGCACATAATTATATCTTATGCCAAATATACGAAGGTTTAAACATTTGATGTTATGGCAAATACAATTATTTTTTGCTGTGTGGGGAGATACATAGAGGAAAGCTTTGTAATTAATTTTAAATTTTTAAATGCTAATCTTTGCATAATGGAACTGGAATGTGATTTTTTAGTAAATTATAAAAAAAAAATTCGCCCCGTTAGGACATCAGTCGTTTAGTTCAGTGGGTGAGACAATCTGAGTGCGTTACCCAGAAGACGCAGGCTCGACTCCTGGCACCGACAAACATTTTTTCGACAAAAAAAATCGCATTTAAGCAACTGTTGTATGTTGTTATCATTGAGTTGTAACCGATAGCTTTTGTAACTTATTATAGAGATTGATAACCGAAATTAGGCTAAATCGTTTTAGTAGTGAAAGAGACTTTCACGAAAGATAGATTAAATACGAAACTTTCATTGGGCTACAAACTTGTACGCCTTCAAATTCCGAGTTATTGCATTAAGAAACACGATAACAGGCTACGATTTTTTTACTCACACAAATAATTGTCCGCGAACTGACCATGTGTATTTTCGTTCGCAGCACATACCAGGAGCTGACACTGGCCCGCCAACAACTGCAGGACGACTACGAAAAACTGAAGCGCGAGGAGGCTGACAAGTCCGCCAAATTGAAGGAGCTCATGTTAGTGTCCCGTTCGCCCCGTCGCCACCTCGATAAGGCCGAGAAGGAGGTCGCCAACCAACAGACGTTGTTGAAGGACGACAACGACATTTTCGGGGATTACATAATAACCCCCAAGAAACAGAGGCTAGGTTTCGGATACGGCATGGGCCTCGATATAGAGAAGTCAGCCGGCAGGGAGGAAAGGTCGCTCTCGGCAATCCCAAAATCCCAAACCCGACACAGCTGCAACATCCATCCTCTCCAGTTACATTTGCTCATCTCCGTCACCATGATCCTCCTGACCCATCGCTACCCCCAAATAGTTGTTTTAGTTTAAGCTTTGCATCCCCTTTTGTTGGTTCTAATGGGTCTCTGCACATTGATACTTAGTACTTTATATGCCTTGAAAAGCAATCATAATTTAGTGGATGTCTAATTCTTCAATTAATTAGTAATTAGTGTGCCGAGACCTGTGTATAATTTTCAGTATTCCAATATTAATTATCCAAGATACCTATAACTGTCTTATATTGCATTGCAATACTATGATGATTTAAGTATTGAAAAGAACCTTGTAAGACAGTTGTAGACATAATATTATGACATACTTTTATAATTGCTTTGCTTCAAAAGTTAATCTGAAACCATGGGTATTAACACATTATTTACAAATTAGGTTACATTTTTTATGACTAAAGATTAAACTCTTATAATTCCCACAGCATTTACTATTGAGTTATATATGTTTGCATAAATAATCTAAAGCATGATGTTTACGGTTAGTGCATTAAAATAAGTATGTTATATGACAATCCTATAGCATGTGAGTTAGATAATTGTTCGTATATTATGGATAGCTTGCTATTTTTGGGTAAGATGATAAAGAAAATCAGTTACAATTCCTTCGCGATCGCGTTGTTAATAAAATGACTATTACTATATTGCTCGTGTAGTTACTAGGGGTCACTAATCTTTCGTACCGAAAATGCGTGCTTAATAGACTCATTGGTGCATACTCGAAGTTGTGTTTAAAATTTCACTGCCTTTTATGTTAATAATCTTTGATGTATTTTAAAAAGGCAGAAATAGTTCTACAAATTTATATGTTAGCTTAAAGCAAATCAGATAATTACTCTTAATTTTGATTTAAATTAGGATAAAATTTTCGCACAAAACGCGTAAATGCTATTTAATAGATAACTGTTTAAAATCACCCAAAACAGATTGATTGCATTTATATTGTTATGTAAATATTTTGTACATAAAAAGAACGTTTGTATAGAGAGTCACCAACTCATATTTTTATCGAAATATTTTTGTATTAGTCTCGACCTGTTTAACTTGTTTCTCGAGAGTATTTAAAATTGTAACAAATGATCCCAATTTATTTTTCGAATAAATAAACCTTAGATTATTCTAAATGTGTAGGTTAATAAGACAAAGTCACAATTAGGTAAACTGGAACCATTTAGTATTAATACGGAACCATTTAGTAATAATATGATGGCCTTCGATAATCAATTAGGAAATATTTAAATGAACACCATTTATTCCATTGATTGCATTTATTAATTCACCATCATAGCATACTCTGCTATATGACAATACATTATCACATCATGTTCACAATCAACATACGAAGCATGGCTATATTTCCATTCCACCTGTGCCTCTTCCACAACTGCTCGTATTTAATTGCATCAAACATTACTCCTAGTATCCGTATTCCTTAGTTGCACTCGAAATGCCGAAGAGTGATTGTCGCCTCAATCTGTGGGATATGAACTCATGCAAATAACGCTTTGTGTAAATTTCACACAGGATTGGAAATCAAATATGCTCTGTTTGCACGGATGTCGGACATGCTCGTGGCGTTTCTTTAGTGTTGGCATTTAATCTAGAAAATTTCAATGTATTTATAAGTGACGTTTTGCCCTTATTTTATGACTAACATTTCTAGATTGAACTGCTAGCAACACTAATGTACAATGTTACTATGTTGTGATATTTGATTGAGTAATAGAATATTGTAGTCAATGTAAGTACAAAGTAAATGTAGTTGCGAGGTTTGTTATGCCTAGCTTTTTATTTTTGAGTTGTCATTTTATTCCGCACGTATCCCATTCATATTCATTCTGCCGGGGGTTGGCATTTTCTAAAATGATGGCCTTTGAGGTTCGAGCGACCATTATATTATATGGATGGGTGCGTGTTGGGATGATAGCTCATTCGCGTCAATTTACAGGTAATTCTAATTGTAAGATCAAGTAGTACTTTTCGTCATTGGAGCATTATTTTAGCAGTGTGTATCTCTATTAATAACATATTTTTCACTTTATCAGTTACTATTTTAAAATGTCATTTCGTATGACTTAATTACATCTCAATTACATGTATATCTGCATTTCTGATTGGTGACATAAATAACGGCGAAAATTTGCTAAAGAATACTCCGGAGATGCTGGTACTATAAATATTTCCTATAATTTTGGTTTGTTTGGCTGTTACTTTACTTTGGCATTGGTGATCTACAGCCAAAGCGTGGAGCGTCGCGAACAAGCCCGCGCCGACTTGAAGGGGCTCGAGGACACCGTGGCCAAGGAGCTTCAGACACTGCACAACTTGCGAAAACTCTTCGTGCAAGATTTACAGGTATATTTCAACAACATTTATAATATTAATATGTTTTTCGTGTCAGCTACTCTCTATTTGATTTTTTAAATGATGAAGGGGTAAAACACATTGCGATTTATATAAAAAAGTGTGTGTGTGTACTTATGTACACGCGTTAGAAGTTATACTTCTTTGGCGTAACAACAAAAATCTTTTCAAAAAATTTATCTTTCGCCTTATTCTGTTTGTAGAAAAAACGACACTAACAATAGAATAAAGGTATTTTATACGTTAAAGTTTTATTATAACGCATTATCTAGCTAAATACAGTATACAAGGTAATTTAAATATCACATAATAAATATCGTGAATACAATCGTTTCCCTAACGCACCAAAAAAAGTACAACATCAAAAATCTTTTATTGCTATTAATTTTTAATTTGTGTAGTTTTATTTTTATGTGATACATGAAGAACATTTTTTGAATTAGGCTTAACTTATTCATTTTACTCTAGGCGAGAATAAAGAAATCGACCAACCCCGAGGAAAGCGCGGAGGAGGAGGGCGGATCTTTGGCCCAGAAGCAGAAGATCTCGTTCCTCGAAAACAATCTGGAGCAGCTCACGAAGGTGCACAAGCAATTGGTGCGCGACAACGCGGATCTGCGGTGCGAACTGCCAAAGCTCGAGAAACGCCTCCGCGCTACTATGGAACGCGTTAAAGCCCTCGAGACAGCGCTTAAGGTAAGGCGTCGTCTAAATAAATGGACAAGAACTAGGTAGGTAGAGCTATACAGCGTGGTGTTACAACCGCGACATTAAATGAACACACTTCTAACTGTACTTGCAATAATCATAAAAAAATTTAACATTAAAAACGTTAAAAAGGATCCATAATTAAAAATAATATGTATTTTGAAACAATTAAATAAAAAAGAAACAAAACTTACTGATTCATTCATAATGTTAACGTTATTGACTCGTTACTCAGAACGACAACGTTGCAGTCGCATAGTACCTACGAACCTTACAACGTGATTGTTTCTTTCTAACAGTGTGTTTTGTCTCCTTTTAAATACATTCCCATTCATATGGTTAGTGACCTTTACTAATATAATACTAAATATTTTGACTGTTCATTTAGTGACTACTAGATTAATGTAGTATGTTCTATAGAATAATAAGTGAATGCTTTGGTTTTTGTAATAGGAAGCGAAAGAGGGAGCTATGCGTGACCGCAAGAGATACCAATTCGAAGTTGACAGAATTAAGGAAGCTGTACGAGCCAAGAATCTCGCCAGAAGGGGCCCTCAGGCTCAAATTGGTAAATTTGTCTCATTTATAAATATTAATATTTTCATGATGAATAATTACATCAAATTGATTTTAAAAAAATTGAATATATTTTATAAAAAAATTTTGGTACAATTCTAGCGAAACCCATCCGAGCTGGAGGCGGGCACATGGTTAGTGGCGGCGCCCAGGGAGTGGTCAGGCCTGCCCCTGCCCAGGACATTAAACGAAAATCCATTATCGTTGGCGGACGAGGTTTGTTTCCCAATATTGATAAGTTATAAATATGCATTCACATAGCCTTGCTTTGTAATAAAGAAACTAAAGGTTAGGTTTTTTAATCAGGTGTGTTAAAAGAAGTTGAACATTTTCAACTTTTTTTCTTATTTCTACTTATTTGTTTCAGATGAAAGTTGAAGAGATAACCGTATCATCATAGAGAATCTAAAATAAATTTCATAGATGTACCCAATAAGGCGGCAAAATCATTCTTGAAAAAAAAAATACCCATATTAATATAATTACTACTTGTGTTTATGAAAAGCCTAATAATAAGCTGCAACAAAAATAATAAAAAATATTGTAGACTCCTCTAAGGCTTAATGTTTCGATCTATTTAATCTAAACGTCACTTAGTGCACATGTATGTAGAAAAGATTATGGCTTCTCGCTAATCATGTAAGTTTGTGTCACCGCACTGTGCCTGGATTTGATCCCGAACACGACAGGCTCAGTGTGGCTGTAGTCTTTCTAAAATTTAAATATGGGTTGTCACAAGTATTTTATTATCTAAAATATTCTGTCCTCAGTCGCTTTTGATCTTAGAGAATGAATTTGGAGAAAAATATTTTTATGAAATGACAAAAGTATTAAATTAGTTTCTATGCAGATATGCTTTACATGCATTTCTGTTCTGTTCTAAATCTATTCAAAATATTTATTGTATTTTGTGGGAAGAAATGGTGTGGTGGCGTTAAATGACAGTAAATCTTGTTGAGCAGTACAAAGAGACACCGAGCCAGTTACCAGTGCGTTTCAAAAGTTCGGTTAGAGGTGAAATTATATCGGATGAGTGACCTCCATTTCTTCCCAATGGGATCCGCAATAAATTATTTCATAGATGCAATATTTCATTATCTTTAAGAATAAAGCTGTGAATTATCTGCAGACTTGCATGTGCTGCCGCACAAATAAAATTAAAAAACAATGTTTAAAAATATGACGGTTTCCGTATGGTTGTCGTATCGCTAGTGTGGTGGCAAATGCATACGGGAGTGCATCTTCAATGTGTAGTTGTAGTGTAAGCTTCTTTAATATATATTTTTATATATTGTGATAAGCGTTGTTATGCCCAAATGCGAGCATTTAATAAGTTATGACGACACGACCCTTTCGGTATAAATTCGGTGATAACGAGGAGGACCCTTACGTAACGCGCAGTCACAGTTTGTCCGTGGTAGCGCACGGTCGGCTCGCATCGGTCTCGTGCGTCGGTGCCTAGGCGACTTGCTGCACAGCAAGTTCCCGGCCTCTAGGCACGCCCCGCGCCTGACGGCTAACGATACATTTTAGTGGGTGATTTTTATATTTCGAGCGTGGAATATGAAAATCTATTTCAACTAATATCATCACTTCGCTCCGGTTGTTAAAAAAAATTTAATGCATAACAGTTAGCGACAGATAAGATTTCCGTTTTAAATACCCTTGCGCATATCTTAGTGTAGGTTGTCGTCGTTCGTCATCACCTTTACTTTTATACTCCCCCCATTGCTGCTTAATGTTCACCGTTTGCCTGTGAGCTGTGATGTTTTTAGTAGCGGATTATATTATGTGTATTGCGTCTATTCCTGTGGTGTACTTGTAGTCAATAAAATAGAAGACTTACATTTAAATTACTTCAAAAACATTCGTGTTTTTTTTCTTTTTTAATCTTTCACATCGATTACGGCTGGAATGGAAAAATTGCGTTTTACTTTCCAAGTTTCAAGAGCGCCGTTTGTTTGTTTAAAGTTCTCTACTCGCTTTAAGATGCATTAGCTTCATAGTAGATCTGTAACTTATGTAAGTACTTATATAATAATCAAGTTGATACGCGGTCTGCCGCGGGCCTGCGTCACGTGTCGCACCGAATCATGCCTTCGCTGCGTCCTACGAGGAGTTCTGGAACTGTGCTCGATAAACGCTCTTCTGAAAGCCAAAGAACAATCACAAGTTTATAATTATTATATTATTCGAGATTTATTACCAACTGAAATTTAACGTAATCCCCGAATTACTCAATGGTTCCAAAGCTCCTTAATGTGTTGCAATACATTTGTCATTTAGATGTAAAGTAGTAAATTATTTCATACTTAAGTTAGATACTTGATTTTACTATATTTTATTTATTATTCCATACAACTAAATTGTCTTTTTTTTTCACTTTTGAAGTGTAATAAGCTTTTTACATACCTCTTTTATTTTACAATGTTTTATAATCATGGTAACCCCATATTTCTTGTCCACGATTGGAAATACCTGTAAGGGTGCATTCCATACTGGAGGCAGTTTGAATTTGTTGTGTAACTTCGTTTGTTAAATGTAAATTAATATGAGGCTATCCTCGGTTTCCACTCGCCTGTTGCATAGATAGCTCAAACTGGTGAACAAAATCAACGACGCATTCGCGCCGGTTGGCGGGCGTAACCCAAACCGACAGGCTTGCCTTTGCACCAAGTGATTTAGTTTGTATTGACATCTTTTGTACGATGTATTTAATATATGGAAAATTCTCAACAAGAGTGTTTTCTTGATTTTTATTTATTATAAAAATAAAATTATGAATTTAATTTGCTATGTTCGTGTCTTTTATTTAAACACACCTAGTGTCAATGATATGATTTAGTGCTTAATAAACCCAAAAAACACGTGAGAAATCTAGTGAAAACGGGAGGGCACAAACATAATAATAACGGGTTGGGATTGGCTCTTGAAATACAAGGTAAAAATAAAAAGTTTGCGAGTCAATGCTCTACTAAAACTAAATGTTTATTAATGCATATTTATTTACTTAAAATTTAAGACTGATGCTCGTCAAGAAGCAAGCATAGATTGAAATTTTTAAATGGGAAAATAATCCGAGATATGTATGTAAAGTATGCTGTTAATTAAAGTACATAATAGATGCGCCAAGCATTCCTTAAAACGCGAAATAACTTTATAAAAGTACATTGAGATTTTCGTCGGCGTAGCAATCAACCGTTTATCTTAGTGGTTAAAGCGTCTGGGCGCGATTCTGGAAGACGCAAGTTCGATTCCCCCCGCGGTGGCGAAAAGTTTTCGCATTTTAATGTTTCATATTTTAAATGGAGATATTAGCACTACAAAAATGTATCATTTCATTAGCGAAGGCAACATCTCTCGCTCGAATTATCGTTGTATATTCATTAGTGTTGTATTGAGCCCAGAATCGTGATTCATAGCAGTCTGTGGAGGCGGCCTTTGTTCAGCAATGGAATAAAACTGATGATAATGAAGTAATAAGTAAAATTTATTGAAATATTTCTGATCACAGTACCTTATTTATTGTACTTTGTTGTTTTCAAGGACCGCCGACGTAATGACGACTAACACTTATAAAGATTTTACCCAACGGTTCTTAATCTCGTTCTGCTTCGGGGCCGCCCGATTACCGACCAAGCTTTTATAACATTTTTTTTCGGCGAAATTTACCGTCATATTCGAATACCGTCATAATTTCATATCTCATTCCCTGAAAACAGGGATAAAAGGACATTTTCTAAACCTAGCTAGATCGATTTTTCGCCCGCGAATCTACGCATACTAAATTTCATGAAAATCGCTGGAGCCGTTTCCGAGATTCCGATTATATATATATTGCTGAATAGCTCGTTTAAAGGTATTGGATAGATACGGTGACGCGAAAGACGGATGCACCTTGAGTTTTTTTTACACTTATGCTGAAACACTTGTCCTCTTTTTTTTCTATTGCTTTAATTACCCCATCCCTTTATACCATTCGAACCAAACTTTGCTTGGAAATAGGAACACTCGGCCGACGATTTTGTTTGCGTATAACATATATATTATAGTATTTTTTTTTTATGCGAAAAGTTGTCAAACGAGCAGACGGTTCACCCGATGTTAAGTGAATACCGCCGCCCATGGACATCTGCCACATCCGTGGGTTACAGATGCGTTGACAATCTTTTAAAATTTGGGCTCCGGCTACCTCACTCACCAGACGAAACGCGAAAGTATTTGTCATACTTCCACTTTACGCTGGTCTTCTGTGAGGTCGTGGTACTTACCCGGACGACCCTGCCCATTCGTGCAACAGCCGAGGCTGCTGCGTGGCCCTACCACCGTGAGTATAAAATATCATTGATCAAGATCATAAATGAATCTGTTTTATTTTTTGTAAATATTTAATTAAGTTGTTACCGCCGCCCGCTTGTTTGTACAGTGCAAAGAAATGGACACGTAACTTTTTTGTCTTTAGTGTAATATATCACATATGAATTTCAGCCCTCGTAAAAACTAGATCTTTGATAAAAGAAAGAAGGCAATGCTGAGTTCTTATTGAAATTCTAGCTCCAAAAATTATTTATTGTTAGAAGATAGGAGGGTAGTAGCACACTGCGGCGGCCTATAAACGGAGCAGCGCTCGCCATGTCAAGAGACTTTCTCATCTGCCGTTGTAGAGTGCGGAAGCTCTACCCGAATTAATAACGATTGTGTCGGTTACTTAGAATTGTAGTGAAACTTCTGTTAAGTTTGGCCTACTGGCCAATAAGTTATTTTTAAAAAATCAATCTTCGTTTCTATTTCCTAACATCAGCATTGGGATTCGAAAACTTACGTGTCTTGACTCCATACATCGTTTTTGAGTTTTCAAAGAATCGGCTTTTTATTTTTTCATTGGGTGCCTACCCTCGTAAAGAAAATATATTGGTTCGTAAGTGGTGGTGATATGTGGTTCGAAATGGTGGTAATAAAGCAATGGTGGAATTATCTTTTGGTTAAGTATACGACAGGTTTGGTGAGTACGTTCCAGTTTTATAATTAAACCGGGAATAGGTTTATTTGTGAATACATTTTGAAATATCTTTACTTCACGTTCCATTTTGTTTTGTCGTGACTACTTAGTAATTTGTTTGGCAAATTCTTTGATACTTTTGTGGCGACTCATTTGCTACTGTGTAGCACCGCTCTTATCTTTTACACCCTTACTCTCATCGGTCTAGCATTACCCTATTATTGAAAAATTGCTATAGCAACGAGTGACAATAAAAGATGATGGTTTTCTCAACACGGCTTGTTCTTTGTACTGCATCTTAATTATTCCCTCCTGCCGGCTCCCAAACTTTGATTCGAAATACACCTTCTTTGAGATTATCTGTTGAAAGTTATGCCTCATAAAAAGAGTGAAAGTAAATGACGTTCGAGTAACCAACAGTTCAAATTCTAAACAACGTAATTCAGTGCTGCATTCTTCGCTACTGTTTTATTTTGTTCGTAGTGAGTAAGTAGTCTCACTAGTCTAACATGGGCGTTGACTTAATGTCAAGTCGCTGGTTTATTTGTTCGTAGTGAGTTGTCTCGTTAGTCGAACATGAGCGTTGACGTAATGACTAGTCGCTGGTTTATTTGTTCGAAGTGAGTAGTCTCGCTAGTCGAACATGGGCGTTGACTTAATGTCAAGTCGCTGGTTTATTTGTTCGTAGTGAATAGTCTCACTGGTCAAACATGGGCGTTGACTTAAATGTCAAGTCGCTGGCTTATTTTGTTCGTAGTGAATAGTCTCACTAATCGAACATGGGCGTTGACTTAATGTCAAGTCGCTGGTTTATTTGTTCGTAGTGAGTAGTCTCTCTAGTCGAACATGAGCGTTGACGTAATGACAAGTCGCTGGTTTATTTGTTCGAAGTGAGTAGTCTCGCTAGTCGAACATGGGCGTTGACTTAATGTCAAGTCGCTGGTTTATTTGTTCGTAGTGAGTAGTCTCGCTAGTCGAACACAGGCGTTGATATGCTATCAAGCCGCCATTTATTAACGAATACGTTTCCACGAGCGTTCAAGTAATTATAGCGTTATGTAAAGTCTGGCGCTGTGCTAAGTCATATTGGCGTAAGCCTGTTTGTCATGTGTATTTAATATCCAGTCGTACATCATGTTGACAGTTACATGTGTTAGCAATTGCTAAAGTCACCATACAAACTGTACTGTTCGAGTCTCTAGTCAGATATTTGGAAAGAGGTATGATAGTCGATAAAATGCCTCAAGCCCCCGTCGATAACCCCGCTTGGTTCCAGACAATGCTGACAACCACTCCAGGATCGAGGACGACCAGTCGTCAGGAGAGGCCGTGTTAGAAGATAGGAGGGTAGTAGCACACTGCGGCGGCCTATAAACGGAGCAGCGCTCGCCATGTCAAGAGACTCTTATCTGCCGTTGTAGAGTGCGGAAGCTCTACCCGAATTAATAACGATCGGTTACTTAGAATTGTAGTGAAACTTCTGTTAAGTTTGGCCTAATGGCCAATAAGTTCTTTTTAAAAAATCAATATTCGTTTCTATTTCCTAACATTATATATTTTTGGAGCTAGAATATATAGATAAGTCCGATTCCTCTTTCGAATTATTTTTATAACATTGCCTATTTAAGACAATGTTGTTTGAAACTTAGTAAAAACAAATAAGGAGATAATATTTTTTTAGGGAAGAAGAAATATTAAGAACTACAGTTATGTAAGTATTTGGTAATTTATTAATAAATAAATATTTTATACAATCTTGTGAGAATAATACGTATCCACCGTGTAGGTACAATAAAATCAAAGTTTATCATATCATTAAAAACAATCTATTTTGAAATAATTTATTCCGTATCTTATTTTCTAACACGCTACGTGCTAATTAATACCTCTAATATGCTACTTTCTCTTAAAAAGACTAAAGCTATCTTATTAAGGCTGTTATGATATGAAATGGATGCGAATGGTCTGCAACCTTACAATCATTTGAATAAAAAATATAGTGCATGTCATCTTACGTACGATTTACTATATCGAATACATAAAGCTGATAAATCTATATTTATCGAAATACAATATGCCTTTAATTGTTATAAATATAAATACAAACACTGAAATGTTTATTTTGAAATTAGATTGATTTTGTTTATAATGTAACGAAGCTTAGCTTACACAAAGCCGAATGATTTTTATAGCTCAGGCAGTTATAAGGCCTTCATTTACCAATTGAATATTGCACTGTGCACTCTTTATTTAAATAAGAATGTTAAATGTAAATCAGTAACGCCCGTGAACTTCTTTTAATAAAATAAAGTTAAATTATTAACACAAAACGGTGTAATATATTAATAAAGATATATTCATTTATAAATTACAACACTCATTAACATGTTACTTATTGTTACTTATTAACATTCCATTACATTCGTTAAAATTGAAAAAATATATACCTTTTTTGTCTAAAACTTCATATTTCACACAATAAGTAAAGGTACTATACAAACAATATATTAACTTTATTAAAAGTTGTTTGACAAGGATTTTATGTTTTAATACAGTTGAACACATATCCCCGAGATTTTTACATTGACTAATTCATATCACAGATGCAATCTTGGAAAAATAAACAAAAGAGAGGTACGGATAACGTATCAATTACAGCATGTTAAATGATACACTACAATACAGGTAAAATTTTTATATACAAATTTGGCTGATATTTGTGGATTCACCCCAAGAAAAAACTTCATGGTTTTTCCTTTCACTGCTCCGCCTTTGAAATAAGACCAGGAGATTCATCAACACACATGCAGCCACCATTGGAATCATAACCAAGAAAAGAATTCTACAGTCAGTCATACAGACAGACAGACTAATCGCTACATATTGTTACAATTGTAACAGGCGACGTTTTCAACTCTGAATGGACCCGAAATTTTAGTAAGTGGGGGTAAAAGTATTCAAATGTAGTTCATTGAAGACATGACTTGCAAAAAACCTCTATTGCTTATGCTTATAAAAGATAAGTGCGGGACCAAGATACGTACGAAAAAGCTTATAAAAGATTATAAGTGAAACCTCAACGCATTTGGGTAGAAAAAAGTTATTTTTTTAACAACAATCGACTACAGGTCTCCTACGAGCATTTATCGTTGTTTCCAATAATGCTTCAATAATCTTTTCCTAATTGAAGATGTTTATCCCACATAATTATGCTTTCACTTAGAGCGCAAAGGCAACGTACTGACATGCTGAAGCCATTTTGCAACTTTATTACTTAACTAGATATCAGCGCGTCTACCGTCGGCAACACAAGTAAATCATGTTTATAACAAAAGGGTACTCGTTAAGCATTCACTATTTGATTTTGGGTAGTTGCGTTATGTATCTCCGGTCGAATAATGAAATTAACCTAAACCTAACCTATTGCAATAAGAATTTTTGAAATGACGGAGTTCTGAGGTAACAAACATAAAAAAGCAACTGAACTGAGATTTTTGAAGTCGATTTAAAAGGTTAACTTACGAAAACGTATTTTTAGTCGCCCGTGTCTTTATCTAGTATTTTTCTTCAATTAAATTATGAACTCACTTAACGCTCATTTTGTTCATACACGAATATCGAACAGAAATCGTCCGTCGGTCCACTCAGAAACTTTTACACTAAGTTAATTTCTTACAAAATGTCGATGTACGTTTTACGATGGACCTTTATTATTCTTTCTGAAACGAGACGTTCTGAAGCCAGAGCGTTTTCCTTATAATATATGATTGCTGTAAACTTGAATGGGATGAATATTCTTAACAACTATAAAGCGTTCAATCGTTGCTTCGTATTTTCAAAAACTTTAGCAATTTCAGAAGCCATTGTGAATGAGAATAATTTTAACTTCGAAATCAAAACAAGAAATATTTTTTTTTGAAAATAATAATAATTAAGTTGAAAACATAATCGTCTCGAAAATTGTCAGTATCCATATATATACACACAATATGGTTTACAAATTACAGCTCAAATTATGCTTTGTTGCATAGCCTAACATTTAAAAAAAATATGTTTTTTTTTTTATATGAGTCTATAGCAAAAAAACCATAATTTACACTAATTTATGTTTGTTTTCTGTACCTAACCGCTATGGCATCAGAGTCTCATAATAGTTATAATCTCTTAAACAGTTACTCCATTACCTTGAAGGTAAGTAATGCAATTTGGTAATAAAGCTCTTCTTTTGTAATTGCTTCCCTTAATCATAAAATACATAAACGCTAATGTTTAGTTTTATTGCATTGTTTTAATGATTATTATCACTTTCTTCAAAACGCATAGAGCGGGGCTAATTCAAACATCTTCGGGGAGAGCTGCCATCACAGACCATCGTAGGTCGATATCGATTCGTCCGAATTGTGTCCTTGTGTATGGGTTAGGCCATTCTCCTTGACTGTTGACGAAATCCTGAAAATGATCAAATCATATTCAACAGCCTAAAATAAATACCTCGATGGCCCGGTGAAGGTAAAAATCGTGCATATTTTCGAAAGAATATTAAAAAATATATGTATACATAAATATCTGAGATACGCGAAGTCTGGCATTTGCCCTGCCCCGCAATGGGACCTATACGCATAGGCGAATACTTAACTTTACTTTTGTCTGCACGTTTCCAAATAATTTCCTACGTTCCTTCAAATATTACTAGTTATTAACCGACTTCAAGAAAGGAGGAGGTCCTATGTTCGACTGTATGGGTGACGGATGACTCCTTAGTGCAGTTGTAAGGCATTTAAGGCAGAGACACCTATTTGTGTGACCCACAGGTAGTGTATGTAAAAAGTCCTTAGAACACAGGACATTGTTATCCTATAGTAAGGGAGCAATGTTTTCGAAGGGACGACTACAATAGATCTTTCTAGGTCGCAGTGGCCGTTGGGACTTACTACCCAAACCCGCACAAAAATTGGGTATGAAGTTAAAAAATATAATCAGTAAAATAGTGATAAAGTTTTACCCAAAGAACGGAAGTAGGGTTATGAGTTGGGCGCGACTTGTGCACTCCCGTAACTCAGGCAGCACTAGTAGTATGTGTCGAAGATACGCTTGGAGCGCCACACGCCTATGCTCCACCAAATGCGCATCCTATACACAAAATGTTTCCATGAGAACCATGAATGTTACCAGTTTTCAAAACACATTAATTATTCTTTATTCATTCTTTCGACTTTGGAATCAAATCCCGTTAAAATATTTTAAAACCTATGTATTGAGCAAAGTTATTCAGGCACAATCTAAGCGAAGCTTGTTGTATAACCACTAAGCTAAACGGCCTATTAGCTAAGTGGTTAAGGTATGTGGGCGCGATTCCGGAAAACGTGGGTTCGATTCCCGCGGCAGCAATAACTATTGGCCCAATTTTCTACAAATTTAAATGTTTCATCATAAGTGCAACGATTAAGCACTAGAATAAAACCGTTTAAAAACTTTTAAGTTAAACGGTTTTATTTTATGTGCACTGAAAACTACAATATTGTATTGTCATCTAAATGTGTGTACCAAATTTCAGATCAATCTGACAACGGGAAGGTGCTTAAATTTCAATTTCAAATTTTGACCCAAATAAATAAACAAATTCCGTACGGGTCGAGCTAAATAAAACCGTTTAAAAATGTATATACAGCGTGTCGTTACCATCGCGACAATAAATGAACACACATCTAACGCTACTTGCCAATAACCATAATAAAATATTAACGTTATAAAATCCATAATTAAAAAAATATTCTTCAAACAAACCAATTAAGTAAAAAGAAACAAAATTTGTAACATCCTATACAACTACTACAACTGACTGATTCATACATTCCGGGACTGATTCATACATTCCGGGACTTTTTCATTCGTTGCCACAGCGTCGCATTACAAGCCTCTCCTTCTAATAGTATGTTTTGTCTCTTTTAAATTCATTCAACCTATTCAAATGCTTTATGACCTTTACAAATGAACTTTACGTTACAGTTTTATACGTAAGGTTGTTCTAAAATTCTTTAATTTGGAAAATTTAATAACTCTGTAAATATTGATGTTTAAAGAATGTAAATGTTTAATACAATTTTAAAAAGTTATCCTCTGTGTGTGTGTACATTTATTGTCGCGATTGTAAAGACACGCTGTATAAATTATAAATTTTAATAATTTTATTGGCAGTTTAGGACACGTAAACGTTAAATAAAACTTACCCTTTTTCTTAAAGTTTTCTTCGGTGGGAATTTATAATTAGCTATATCTGGATGACATTTCTTTAATTGTGTATGAAGTTCGTGGAACTTTGCGTATCTATGATACACATTCCATTCCTCCTGACCGATCTTTATGAATATCTATGAAAAAAAAAATTGAATGAATTGAGTTCTACTAATAAGGTAAGTTGTACTATATTGTGCGAATATAAAATAACGTATAGATAGACTGGTTAAAATGATATTCAATGATAAACATTTATGAAAAATAAGAGAAATATTGTAAAAAATTGAATAAACGAACTACGAAAGTTGTTTTTTCCTTTTGTATTTTCTGAGATTTGTAGATTTCTTCATAATGTTTTCATTTTATTTCACACATTAATTGGTTCAAATTACCAAGGTTCAGATTCAAAATACAAAATTTTGTGAAACATTTGTGTAAGGCAAGGCAAAAAACAATTCCTCAATGAGAAAACCAGGATCATGTACCTTGGTTGAACATGTAAGGTAAATAAGCTAAAAAAAATACATTAATTCTTTTGAAATCACATTGTTAAGAGGAATAACTTTTACCTGGTAGACATGGTATGAACGTGTTCTCTTTCCAACTAGAAAAGCCGTAGGCATGTATACTTTCACATTGGATTCTGGATAATCTAAAATCTCTAAAGCTGAGCCACTCTCCAAGTCTTGTAGCCGTCTTTGTAAATATTGATTGAACTCCATAAGTTCTGCATGCATTTCTGCTACCTAAACATTCAGAGAAAATGTAATCTTAGTAGGTACTAGTGTACGCGGTGGGTCGGTTTCGCTAGTAGGCGAATTTAAACTAATTCGTATTGTTCTTTGTGTTATGTTAACTTTTAACTTTTGACAGAAAAAAATTTATATGAATATATTATTATTATTTATTTATTGTTTTTGGAAGTAGTCTCCGTTCCTCTCTACGATAATACATCTTCGCATTTGATAGAACCACCGACAAAGCAGTGGGCCCATTCTTCCTTAGAGGTCTCATCTACGGCATTTCGCATTTTCGGACGCACTCACCGCATCTTCAGGGCTCGTATAGCGAATACCTCGCATTTTATTTTGGATTTTTGATTTACGCAGGGCGCCAGTTTGGGGCTATATAGCGGATGACTCATTACCTAGACACGTGCCGTAGTAATATTCAATTATTCGTTTCGCGGTTTGCTCCGAAGAGTTGTCGTGGTGAAGGTTCCGAAATAACTGGCAACCGTCAGCTAGCACATAAGTCTGCAGTAACTGCCCTTTTATCTTCCAGCACAACTGTCGCGAAATTACCTTTCCGACCAAAGAACGAAGCAAACATTTTTTTTTCTCGAATCTGTTGGTAGATCACGCTCTTGTATTCTTATATGCGATCTTAGATGCGTCTGTGCGATGGATCATATAAGCTGATGTTATCTTTAATTATCGTTTTTAAATCATGCAGATTCACTGAGATTGCTACACTCACGCTTATACTCATTAAACCAATTGTAAACAGTGGCACGGCTACATTATTAAATGCCAATCGAAGTCTATCATGGCTTTGTCATTTGGTAAGAACACGATGAAAGTTGTAAAAAATTCATGGACCCAAAATTCATTTTGAGGTGTAACAAGACTTTTGACCAACAGGCCAGTTCTAAAAACCTTCTGTTACACCCTGGTATTTGATTGCTTGAAAAAAGTTTTAGAATACAACCCCACAAAAGTTTAGGCTAGCCCTATTTTCTAAACAACAAAGGCATTAGATGTTTGATAAAGAATACAATATCCTCTAAAAAAAATCTGCAACACTTGCCTGAACAAGTTTCTTTTCATATGAATTAATTTCTTCCTCATGCTCATTGCCATTTTTAAAAACTATTCCCATTTCCACTGCCGACATATATTTTCTCAATTGGTCTTTTAACTTTCCGTTTTCCCTAGAAAATAGTTAAAAATAATTATTAATTATTAACTTTAAATAGAGGAAAAAATCTCCATAAATAATCATAGAAAAGATACTTCAAGTTTTAGGAGCTTTATTACAGCTTCAATCATTTTTCAACTTACTTGCTTAGTTCCGAGACAACCTTCTCAAGCTTCTGTATTTTTTCCTTACTCTTTAGTTCAAGTTGATTGAATTTTACTTGTAAATCTAAAAACTCTTTTTCTCTACACTCCAAAACTGAACTAACTCTTTTTTCATCAATACCCCCCTCATCCTCGGTGAAACAAAGTTCCAAACAGGAAGTGCTGCCATCGATGCTGCCAGCTATTTCTTCACTATCACTTTCATAAATTTTCAAACAATTCACACTTAAATCAGAAACATTGTCTTCTCTGCATAAATTGTTTCGGTCTACACTACTAGAAGATGTGAATATTTCTTTAGCACATTCAGACAACTTGGTGAGGATTTGCGAAGGGCTGTCTAGACCTTTTACACTGTCAGGAAAGAAGTGTCGTTTTCCACTTTTATATTCAGAACTTGTGGGTTCACTGGTAGATGTTATTTGTGGTAGTATTATGGGGTCTGGAGAATTGAGACAAGTTGGTGGGGCACTATTCCATAAGGTATTTGCTGTTTGTTCAATGGGCTCTATTCTTTTCTTTACAACTTTCTGATTGCCTTGTTCTTTATCAAATGATATGACTTGTCTTAAGGGCTTCCTTTTAACATTACCTGAAGCTTTCACAGGTGTTGGTAGTGGTATAACATGCTCTGATTTTGTCATTGGATTCATTTGCAGTGAGTCATTCAACTCTGCCCTGTCAATTGATAAAGCAAACAAAATAGTTGATAAACCTAGAACAATTATGATTAATTAAGTTATTTTTTTCTGTAATTAATTTCTGTTTAATTTAATAATTTATTACCTGCTGCCATATCAGGAAGTAGACTTGCTTCTGGTGCTCGAACCATGGCACCTTCTTCATAATATTCTGATATTAGGCCATGAGTAATCCAACTCTGTAAATATCTATTTAAAAACATTAAGCATACATGATTGTAATAAAAAAACTCATGAAAATAAACAGTCCAGTTTTATGTATGTGGTTTTTTAGTAAACAAGCAAAGCAGTTAGAGGACTTGAAGCTTTTTGATGAAAATAGATGTATTGATTAGTTAAATAGTAATTAAATATAAAAGTAAATATCTTATGTCATTCATTGTTAATTTTTTTTAAGAAATAAGAAATTAAAATTTGATTGGTAAGTTACAAATATCTACCTTTCCAGGGATCTTTCATTTAATGATGCTCTTATAAATGCTTTGAAGTAACCTAAAGGTGTATTGATATTTGCCAGAATTTTAAACCTTTCCTTTTCATGTTTTGTTAGATGAAGACATGTGTAACTCCAAAGTGAATTACCTATAACAGTATTTTTCACTTGTAATAAAATTTTATGTATGCATTTATATATATATATATATATATATAAAATAATACTTACCAACATTAATAATATTGAAGGTAAAACTTAAACCAGCAGCGACTAAACTTTGTATAGTAGAATTTGACAAGTTTGTTCTTATCCCATGACTAAGTATTTTTTCCCATTTTTCACATACTTGAACAATTCTATGATAATACATTTTTATAAATTAATTATACAATTTAATTATTCAACATTTACAACATTAAATCTACCTAAAATTACATATCTAATAAACCTAGTTGCTAAGACTAGGCTAACTACTACATTTCCCACTGAATAGTTAATTTAAATAATAGAATTTTCTAATAGAATTTCTTAACTTTTAGGCGAGAAAAGAACCAGGTCTCTTGTCTCTCTTGTAGCCGCGACATTGTGCCTAGGATGTAAACCTTTCAAAAATTTCAATGTATGAGGACCCCATAGACACAAAGCTTCAACAGCAAATGGCACAAATATATAATCTAAACTTAGATGAAAGTCATCAAGTGTCTACACAAGTAGCATCCCAAACAAGGGCTTTACCTCTCCCAATTGTTCAAAGTCAAGTCTTTTACCATTGTTGCAAATGCTACAGGACTCTAAATTAGATGAAACATTGATGGAAAAAAGAGCCCTACAGATGATGTAGTTCAGGCAACCGGTGTGAAAAGCGGCCAGCATTTTGACAAGAAAACCCATGAAGACCAAATTTGTCTACAATGATACCACAAGGGCTTTGGTGTGGTTGACAAATTGACCCCCCAGACAGATTCCTACAGTTTTCATTGTCAAGTAATGTGCCCAAGTTACTAAATGGTAAACAGTGAAACCATTAACTCGATTTTTTAGATGAGACACCTAGAAAACAGGCACACTTCATTACAATCTAAAGATTAAAAACTATCTTTCTGTACTTTCTGCACCAAAGAAACTTCCGACTGTTTTTGTAGCTTTACTTCCAGTGGGTTATATTATATTTACGTTAAAGAAGATAGACAGCCAAGACAATCTTGCCTCCTCGGCATAGGAAAGTTCACATTTGTAATTTAGGATATCATTACATAATTTATTTATGCTATGCACTGAAGCTAGGAAGGCAGGTCGAGTGACATGAGAAATTTCCCTTACACCAATACCTATAATAAATAGTGAATTTAAAAAATATTTAATAGAGCAATTCTAAACACATTCAGAATCACTTTTGCTACATTTTCTTCCTACCTTAAATCATCTTCTGTTGCAAGTTCAGACTTTCCACCAAATCTATTTTTGCATTTTTCAACACATGAATGCAATTCTTGTAGGGCCTGTTTTCTAGTCTCCACTTTCTTTCTTGAATCTTCCTTATTATCAATGGCATTTGTTAAACTGTTTAATATTTTACTATTCTGAAATATGAGTAAATTAGGGTATTTATTCATTAGCTTGTTGTGAATATATTTACAAATATTTAAATCACAGATAATTATTTTAAGTATATTCCAAGTAATCATATAAAGATCTGTTATATATTTCAAGCAAGGTCCTTTGATATAATGGGCGAAGGGTGAAAATTAGTGTTGTTGGTAGTATACATTAGTAGAGTACGGAAATTTCTTAATGAAAAGTAAAATACTTTAGTAAAATATACAAAAACACAAATTGAAATTGGTAAACGATAAGAAAAAACATACATTTTAGTAACGCAGGATTTTTATGCCTAATTAATGTAGTTATAATAGAATTAATTAATACATACCATGTTTTATTTAATATTATATATATTACACACTTAAGGAATAGTATCAAATCGCTGGAATTAAATTTAATGAAAGGAATCTGTTATTTATAATAGAAAAATTACACCCATACATGATTTACCTCTGTCAGATTGCCGTCATAGAGATACATATTATGCATACATACAATTGTAAAAATGTAAAATAGACAGTGTTTCCACTTTAATGATTTCGTTACCCCACGCGTCAATTCAAATTTCTCCTTCTCAGGCCTTTTATTCCCTCAAAAATTTTTGTGCTGTAGTTTTTACGTTTGGCCCTAGTGTAATAACTTAAAAAAAATGGTCTTTATCGATTTTCTTCTATAGCCTGCCCACGCCTCTGGTGATACTATATATATTATACTATGATAATATTATTTACATTAAATTCGTCAACAAAATCATCGACAAAAGGAGAATGACCAACACAGTATGGAGCTTGGGCCACTTACAAATATTTTTTTTATATATATATATATATATATATATATATATATATATATATAGCTTTATATATATATATATATATATATATGTATGTATATATATATATATATATATATATATAACAACTTAAAATAAAGCTTGATAGTTCTATTTTCATTATCAAATATGTTTTCGGCGTGGAATCCCAGATTCAGAGAAAAACAATTTTATGTTGTCACTTTTTTTTTATACGGCAGCACGCTCATCCACGGTAGAGTCCGTAGGACGACCCCCCACTAGATGGAGTGACGACCTGTGCAAATGTGCGGGAAGTCGATGGATGCAGGTGGCTCAGGATCGTAGTTCATGGCAGTCTATTGGGGAGGCCTATGTTCAGCAGTGGACTCGGACAGGCTGAAATGATGATGATGATGATGAAAGGAATTTGGATTGGATTGAACGACTGACAGCTGACTAATGGACAGCTTTTTTTTAATAAAGGTTTTTTTGCCTGGTTAACTGGTCATGAAACAATACATTAAAATTTGTAGAAAAAGTACGAAAAGATTGTCACCGCTGTGGGAATCGAACCCACGTTTTCGGAATTCGCGACCTAAGCCTAACGCTTTAGCCACTAAGCTAAACGGCTGACCGCCGAAATCCGCCGAAAATCTTAATATCTTTTATCTACATTGTTTTTATTTAGCATTTGAAGCAATGCTTGGCGCATCAATTGTTATATCCTTTCCAGCATGATTTCTCTTTCCTGAAACCGAATTGATTGTTGGTATTATTAGATTCTAGGAATTTTTGAAAAAATTACCGTAAATAAAAGTGTCCGTTTTCAATTTTGTTTTGGCAACATGGCAGCACAGGTTTTTACGTTGCGACTTGCGTTGCGTCAACCCAATAACAAAATGGCGTTTAAGTTTGTTCGAAATGCTGTATAATCGCATTTTGTAATTTGAGAGTTGAATAATTGTGGTCTATTGTTCACACTAATAGTTTGATTATCATTTAAGTAAAAAAAATAATTTGTAGTTGTATCTTATAATTGTGTTTAGTTTTGTTGCATATTTGAAGGTACTATGAGTAATTACGATGACGATCAAAGTGAAGACGGAGAATTAGCACGCAGTCCCTTAAATGATGAAATGGATTTTAGGTTGGCTTTTTACTATCGTCTATCATTTTGTGACTACTGTAAAGATGATGATGTTTAAATAAGTAATTTTTTTATTTTAGTTTTACAACATGATATTTTATATTTTTTAGCTTATCCGATGAAGACAGGGACAACGCTGACTCATTAGTAATCAAGCCACCTCAAGCCGTGATCCGATCGACACATAGGGAGAAAAGAAGTCACAAACGGTCCGGAAAAGAAAGATACAAAGACGCTTCTAGAAAAGAAAAAAAACATTTTTACAGGTAACAATGCTTTGTATATATTGTACATAATATAACGTATTTTATACAGTAAATAAAATGAAAAGTTTTCAATTTTAATTTATTAAAAATTCGTATGTATTTTAACACGTCGAATATTTTTAACTAGGGATCGAGATAAATCTGAAAAATCAAAACGTGGTGAGGCAGCAAAGAATCTGGAACGTGAAGAGATGACGAAAGAATATTATAGAGAAAAACAATATTATAGAGAGAAGGACCCATATCGTGAAAAAGAAATGAGGGAAAAAGAGATATATCGTGATAGAGAAATGTACAGAGAAAAGGAAGTTTACAGGGAAAAAGATGCATACAGGGAAAGGGACCATTACAGAGAACGGGAAATGTATAGAGATAACATTTCATTCCGAGAAGCACCACGTTCAAGAGACATGTATAGAGAAAAAGAAATGTATAAAGAAAAAGATGTTCATAGAGAGCGCGAAATGTATTTAAACCGTGATCGGCAGAATAAATATTCAGACAATGAGAGGAAGAGATTAGAATCTGATAGAATAGAATCAAGATTAAGGTTGCTAGCTGAGGAGAGTAGACCTAACCATGAAAAAGAAAATAGAGATAGAACTTCAGGGGATAAGGAGCTGGAAGACTTACGGACTAGGTTACTTAGTAAAAGAATATCAAAAGAATTACAGAGTCAAGAGACAAAGAAACTGTCAGATTATACTGAAAAGGAATCAAAGTCTGAAGATAGGCATAGACATTCATCATCCTTAGATAGGCACCAACAAGAAAGAAGAAAAAGGTTATTAGAGGCTGGTAAGATATCAAATTGTCATTTTTACTACTTATTTTATACTGTATGGTAACAGTCATCATCTGCTTTGTTAAGTGTAGTCCTGGTAGTGTTAATTTTCTCTTGTAAGTTTTATGGTATGAAACCTTGTATTTTATTTATAGTGAACATAAATAATGACTTTTTACTTATTACAGAAAGAGAAATGGAAAAACGAAAACATGAGTCCAGGAATGAATTAGAAGCTCGTCGTGAGGAACGTCGTCGTCGTGGCAAAAAAAGATCAGTATCTCCAGATGATGGCAGTAATAAGAAGAAGAGAAATCAATCTCCTAATTACGATTCAGTAGTTACTGTGTCAGATGCTAGTGATGTAGAAATGAAGAGTGATTCTGTTCATTCTGAACCTGAAGAAGGTAAAAATCGATGTCATATTAACACAACTAGGGGTTAGGGGCCATATTTAATTCAATCAACTCATACATTTTATTATATTTTAGGTGAACGTTCCAATACTGAAACTGATGAAGGGAGCTCTACAGATTCTGACTCAGAAGCAGCCTCTAAATCTGGAGATGACAATGAAAATCCAGAAAAATCCGATAAAGAGGAACAAGAAGAGAATGAACAAGAAGATGATTCTAAAACTAGGCTACATTCTAAATCAAAGTCAAAATCACCATCACCTCAGACCATTCACAGAAGTCCATCATCACATGGATCTAGAAGGTATATAAGTGTATGGGTTTTATTAAAAATAAATAGTTTTTTACCTCTGACCTCACCTTACCTTTTTCACCTCATCATATTACCTCTGATCATAATATCTATGATAATAAAGTAAGCTTGATGATTTCCTTATGAAAAGATACTTTATTCTTATTTCTGTGAGTTATTTATGAACATTATTGACTATTTATATTTTTACAAATATAATATTCATATTTTCAGGTCACAGTCTAGATCTAAAAGTAGAAGTAGGTCTCACTCTTTTTCACCACCTCCATCTGGTGAAAATGGCAAAGTACCTGCTGAGGAAGAGAAACAGGAAGAAGATGACGAAAAATTGAAATTAAAAGAAGAGGCCATTAATTTACTGCCTCCATATTTCCCTGCTTTACAGGTAGACATATTTTCAACAATTATATAATTTGTTAACATTTGACATATTCTTGTAGTTATAATATTTTTCTATTGACTGGGCAAGAGGAAAGCACAGCAAAGGGCAAGTTACAAAACTTTTTTTTCAAAATGTATATGTCACAAAACATTAAAAAATCATGTTAAATATACGAGAGTTATTTCTGCCCATAGATTGAAGCGCTTACATTTATAAGAGTTTCTATTCATCATTTTAAATTTATTAATGGTTACTACATAAGTATTTATGCAGGGATTAGTTTATTCTGATATTTCTATAAAGGTGTATGAAGGACTATTTGCCTCATTTAATTTTTATTGTTACTAATAAAACTACTTTTATAGGGATGTCGATCAGTTGAGGAGTTTCAATGTCTGAATAGAATAGAGGAAGGCACATATGGAGTTGTTTACAGAGCACGTGATAAAACAACTGATGAAATTGTTGCTTTAAAACGTTTAAAAATGGAAAAGGAGAAGGAGGGCTTCCCAATCACATCATTGCGGGAGATCAATACTTTACTTAAGGTAGGATCATAATCTCTTTTTATTCTCTATAATGCTCACTTGAGCCATCGTAATGCAACAGTGCTCTCGATTAAAGGTATCATGTCATTATTTTATAAATCTTCTGTAAAATATGCAGCTTGTCTGAGCCACGAGCTATAAAGCACTCGATGGCTCATGTGAAATATTCACTTTATTAATGCCTTGTATTTTATTCCTACAGGCCCGGCACCTCTTACCTGAAGAGGGTTGTGCTAGAGGTGTGACCCCGTTGCAAGGGTTAACAACTTCGATACACGGGCGGGCCTAAGTATCTTATAAGGGATTTATTCCAGGGGAACAGTTTATCCAATAATTTCTACTTCTTTTCTGTGCAAACATCATATGCATAGTAAAAGGACTTCTTTTAAATGGTACATCTAAATAAAATATAAGCTTCGAAAATTTATTGAGAAGGCGATGCAATTATGTAAAAATCTCCATATCAGCTATCATCATATTTTAAGGTAAATTTATAAATATAAATTAAATAGTAAGATTATCTTTATTCAATCATTATTATTTTATTAATATATTCAACACATTTGTTAAGAATCAGGAAAGAAGCATGACACAAAAGTAATATTAATAAGGAATAATTATATTTCTGTAATATCTGTTTAACTACTTTTTAAGTCAAATATTAAATTTTTCAAGACAATTGTACTAATGTTAGTCTTGTGGTTAAACCTATGTTTAGCTTGTGGTTAATTAATTAACATTTAGTTTATGTGTAAAATCCAAAAAAAAATCATTTTGCTTATACAAATTGTTTACACATACACTAACGTTGAATATATTATCCTCAATGAAATTGTTTAAGTCAAATATTTGTGAAAATTGTGAAACAAGTTTATATTATACAGGAGGACTTTGCTGTACTGTATTGCCTACTACTTGATATAGGAGAGAAGATTAAATTAATGTCGCTCCTTGGAAAACATCTTGGCTCATAAATTATTGAAATTTACAAGTATTTATCCATAACATTCATCTGTGTGTAAAACAATCCACATATAACAAAATAAAAAAAATGCAGTTCACTGGGATTCATCTGCTGAATAGATCAACTTGTCTATAATCATTTTGATATATAGTTATGCGAATTACTGAGTTTTTTGATAAAATGTTGAACTAATCATAGTAACAGATATATGTAAAAATGTTTCATATAAACCTTGAAAATATAATTACATTGATTGATTTCAAGTGAAGAAGATAAAAAGGTTAAACCTAAAAACAATGGCAATGGTTTGATCTGCAATGAGAACATCTACCATGGGAAAATGCTAGAAAGGCAAGTATAAGGAAATACATAAATCCAATATCAGTGATTAAAAACATGATTAAAATGCAAAGCCCAAGAGGAAACTGGATTTCATATGGATAAGGCGATTACTAAGGATACTTCAGAATGGCGGCCAATATGCTATGGTGACCAAACCATAAATAACTTGTGACTCTGTCAATGCCAATTGATAATCTGTAATAATTAATAAACAATTACATTTAATTGAATGACTGAGGACCAAATTTCAGTATATTTTTGTTTATTAAATATTAATAGACAGCTCTGGGAAATGATGGACTGCCTATTATATAGGCAGTCCATAGCTTATAGTTCATTAATGTCCAAAATTAGTGTTAATATTTTTAATTTGCTTTTCCGCTAGAAAATTGATTATGCAAATATACAGTTATTAAATCTGAAACCTTTCATCAATAAAGTTTAAATCCAATTCAAGGACTTAAAAACAAAGATGCTTGTTTTGTATTAAAATTTTACATTTTTAAAATTTTTATGGTTAAATATCTGATTGGACCAGGGTTTCTTATTCATATTTTTCAGTTAACATTTAGCCCTCAATTTACAAACTATAATTAGCCAAGAGCTAATTAGTCTTTTAAATTAACAACACAGTTTAAAATATTACATGATTCAAAAATTATTAAATGCTCAAAACATAATGCCATATGTGACCAAAAACATTTGTTCATTTTCAGAGTACTATTTTTCATATAAAATGGGAATGCATGCTTTCTTTTAACATTATTATGATATTGTTTAACTCAATAAATTTTTGTTTGAGTTAAACAATATTTGCAATATTTATCTTTTCAATTTTTGGATTGAAATTAACTTCTCTATCCTTCACAAAATAATTATTATGTCTTGTCATATAGACAGAAAACTAATAGTCTGTTGCAAATTCAATGAATTGAAAGTTCACGAAACATTATCATATCATTGATTATTTTGCTTTATACTGTTTTAATTTTACAACCCGATTGGCATATTGGGTGGTGAACCTGTCTCTTACCCCAGAGGGTGAGTTCAATCTCCACTACTGAAAAATATTGTGTATTTTTCCAGAGTCTGGGTATTTTTATGTATTTATTTACAAACGAAAAGTATGTATAAGTATGTTTATCAGTTATCTAATACCCATAGTACAAGCATTGCTTAGTTTGGGACAGTTACAGAAAGTTATGAAAAAAGTGTCCTAAAATATTATATTATATTATATAATTACCTAAAACTTGGAAATAGACATTTAGAAACCTTATACCGAAACAAATTACGATAGGAATTAATAGTGAATAAGTATTATTCGAAATTGTCTATTCACTCTGTGACATAGTTTGGAAATTGATGGACCAATATATGTTGTATTAAAGTTATCAACATCAAACAGATTGCAAACTATTACATTTTTTTAAACTAATTTTCTATTATTGTTTCCTTTAAACAAAAAGAAAGGACAATTTTAATCCTTATCAATAATTTATGAACAAAAGACAATACATCCATGTTTTACGTATTTTTGTATTTTTATAAATTGTTCTAAATTTTTTTATTTAAATATTGTATTGAATCCCAGACATTGGTTTTCAGTTTATTACTAACAGTGATTATTTAGATTAGTATTGGTATATAAAAATCATGTAGATTACCTTGTACTTTATATTGTTATTAAAAACTTTTACATTTTACAACACACTACTAAGACTACTTGATGTACAAAGATTATAAATAGTAGTAGTAGATAGTATATCACAAATAGAGATAAGTAGGAGAGTAAGAAAGTGATTCTTTATAATAATATAAAACAGTTTGTGTTAACAATAAGTTTGTGGGTTAGAAAAAGAAAGATATTTCTTCTCCATCACAAGTCTCTCCACCACAAAAATATATTCAAAACATTTGTCTGGATTGTTAAATTCAATTTTGCTAGTATGTGTAAAATTTCCACTATGTGACATTTTTATCAAATATATAATTGATATTATGTTACATTTAGATTACAAAATATTTGTGATAATTATTTAAGGAATATGGAATGGTTTAAAGAATTTTATTTACTTTGCCAATTTTTATCTAGCATTGCATAAGGAATAAAAGTAATATGTTACATACTAAAATGAATGGTGTTTTTAAAGGATTTCCACTTTAAACTTTACCCATGCTTTTCATTGCAGTGTGAGAATCATGAATAATATTAAGCTTGTAGTTTTTTTTTTTTGGAATTTAGTAGTAAAACATGTGACCGCAGATTAAATGTATTATATAGTATATTAGAGCATTGAAAATATTTGTAAACGGTTTCTTCAAAGTTTTTCTTAAAATGAACACAGTCCACAAATATACAGGTAAAAGGAAAAGAGAAGAGGAAAAGAATGCCTTCTTATAAATTTAGGTCATAATCATGGTAGTTATTTTGTATATTATGGTGACAGCTACTTAAATGTGATTATATTAATATTCCTAGAAACAAATTTGATAAAAGATTTCAAAAAAATATATACTTTTATATAAAATGCTGAAAACGAATTGTGATTTCAGCTTGTAATGTACTATAATTCTTTAAGAAACCGGACTACTTTTACTGCCTAAGATAACAATTGTGCAATTTTTGTTTTAGTGTTAAGTCATTTTTATTATTAATGAATAGCTTTTGTGTCATGCAGTCTCGTCAAGTGCCGTAATTAAAATTACCTTTAATTTTTATTCTATAATATAAACTAATATAACATCATCAAACTCCAAGTTTATGGTTGAAATGGATGAATAAATATATTACAAAATATATAAATGAAGCTATTTCTTATGAATGACTAACTTCCTTGCCATATTTTGTGCAGGATGTCAACTCTATGATAACTTAAATTTTCACATAACTAGTAATGGAATGTATACATATTAAATATTTAAAACATACCAACATACAATTATAAGAATGGTAATATTTTCAATACAATGGATTCAATATTTTTGACATAAACCTAAAGAAAAACTTTGAAACAGTATTTGGTTGTATGTGCAATTTTTCTTACTGAACAATTATTTGGATATGGAGATTTCTTACTCTTATAATTTTTATAAATATTGTCTGTTATTTAAGCATATAATATACAAGAGGTAAAATAGGGAATGAAATATATGTTTAATTTGTCACAATATAAGTAACTATCAATGAGGTAAATAATAAATACCTCTATAATATTTTCTTTCCATGTAACTTTTTGCGGACGTAAATAATATTTACCATTTTGCCATTTTTTGTGTGGGCAGTATGGTTTTAAAAATATTCCTTAAATCATTAAAAAAGTTATAAAAGTGCCTCAATAATAAAACTTTTCTAGAACTTTTTCATTGGGTGCATCCTCTTAATTTTTAAATTCAGAAAAGCTTATAATAATGTCATCATTAATGATGTTCCTAGACAAATGAATGTGTATAAATATTTCACATCATCACAGGTTTTGAATTTTTTTAGACACCTAAGATTTTCAACATATATCAAGCTTTTTTCAAGTAAAATATCCTCACAAATTTATACTTAAAAACATATTTAAAAGTTTTATTGCATTGCCTTCTCAAATATATCATTCGAAGTAACAAACAAAAATATAGCTCCTAAGGTTATTAATTGGGTTTTCACACTACACTTTTCTGTATTCCACTAAATTATAAAACAATTATTTGTTAGTTATAAAAACTTTTTGTAGTTTGGAAAGCCATGACTCAGAAGAATCCCTTAAAAATCTGATGTAAGGACTATTACCAATTGTGTCTAATTTTTGAATTAACTGATCAGGAATAACTAGGGAACAATGAAATATTTAACAGTCTTTTTTGTTACCTTTCATCTGAAGTACTAAAAAGACTGATATATAAAATTATCTAACCTCCACTGTAAAATATTATATTGTATGGAAGTTTTATGTATGATGAAAAATCAGTTTTTTCTTAATTCTCTTACAAATTAACATAAATTTCAAAGGTAATGTTTTCTTGTATTGATATGTGTTATTATTTCAATTAATGCTAAAATATGTTTGAGGTGTAAATAATGCAGGTTTGTTTACATAAGCCATGATAGCTCATTGTATCAACAGTCAATCAGCATCAACCTCATTTTCCTCCTCCTCCTCTTTATTCAAAAATAAGTCGAGTTTGATCAACCCCTTGGAGGAGGCCTTTGCCCAGCAGTGGGATATTTACATGCTGTTACTTTATGTTCTTTACTTTATTAAAATTTAAATAGGTATTTCTCATATTTACCCAAACATTTATAGCAATTTTTAATAAAAATATATTAACTGTTAGTGATTTTTAGTTATTAGTTATTAGTGATTTTCATTACCAGATAAATGTAGGGTTCAGGTTTCTTTAAATGTATGAGTCTGACCTGATTATGGAGGCTGCATGTGTTTAACATTATTCCCTCTTAAATGAAACTTTAGATCCAGTATTAAAGACTTTTCAATATTTCAATGTTAGTATATTTATGTAGCATTTAAGTCTCCTTTTTCGCTATTCTCAACATAGGTATACCACAAGGGATAGCGTTGTTTATTTTGAATAAGGAACTTCGTTACAAAAATATTTATAATATGTATTATTATAACTGTATTACGTTCGTGTCTAGTGTATGGCGTGTCTTATTGTATTCAACACTTAGGATTTAATAAGCTTGGTGAAAAATAGATAGCATATCATGTTTTATTCCAGAATTCTATGCTCCGAGTTTGTGTGTATTTATATAATTATTATAATCTTAATGTGCAAGCCTATTTTTTTTCTGTTTAGATAGCTTTTGATTTCTAATAAATCAGTAGTGTTGCATCACTGTAAGAAAGGATATGCTGCAAATGGTGCTGGTAAAACTTCGTCTTGGTTTAACTGAACCCATTGTAAATATTATATGTATATTTTTTTAGATGCTGATTTATTTTGATCTTTTAACGAAGCAGTTGGGGTTTTGAATTATTTTTCGAACATGTATCTAATACTGATAATAAGTAGTTATAAGATGCTGGTGCATACAGGATAAAAATCCGCGTGCCTAAGGCACGCTTTATACTAACGTGTCGCACAATCTATTTGCTTGTTGCAGGGCCAGCATCCGAATATCGTGACGGTTAGGGAGATTGTGGTTGGCTCCAATATGGACAAGATCTTCATTGTCATGGATTATGTAGAACATGATCTTAAGAGTCTCATGGAGACCATGAGGGGGAAGAAACAAGTATTCCTCCCTGGTAAGCAGCAATTTAATTTGCTGTGATTAAATTATGAAATTTTTGTTGTTTCTACATTATCATTATTATGATTTAGGACCATTTTTGTTAAATGATTTTTACTTACCAGATTTTTGTAGAAAACTGCATATGAAATCAAGTGTAGTAGGACCACGCAACATTTTGTATTCACTATTGCACAAATGGGCAGGTCCATCCGGGTTAGTACCACAGCGTCACAGAAGACCGGCGTAGTTAGGAAATAGAAGTGTTTCACTTCTGCGTTTCGTTTGGTGAGTGAGGTAGCCGAGATCCACATTATTAAAAAGTGGCAACACATCTGCAACCGGTGTTGCAAATGTCCGTGGGCAGCGTTTATTACTTCACAAAAGGTGAACTGCAAGCTCGTTTGCCACTTTCTAACAAAAAAAATGCCATACTGGGTCAAATAGTAATATAACTGTTCCAAATAATTACAATCCGGCTTAATCTTAAACATATCCAGTTTCACTGTTATATATAACAAATTAAATCTGTCTTTTTGCAGGTGAAATAAAGTGCCTTATGACGCAATTGCTAAAAGCTGTTCATCATCTTCATGATAATTGGATATTGCACAGAGACCTAAAGACAAGCAATCTTCTACTGTCACATAAAGGGGTTTTAAAGGTATTTTTTATTTCTCATATCTGACTATAATTATTACATTTTATATTTAGGGTCATTTATATTTCAGAATTTTTGATTTAAAATAATTCCTTGTAGGTTGGTGACTTTGGTCTGGCTAGAGAATATGGCTCTCCTCTACGTCAATATACGCCTATCGTAGTGACCCTCTGGTATCGAGCACCAGAACTACTGCTATGCTGCAAGGAATATTCTACCCCCATAGACATGTGGAGCGTTGGCTGCATTTTTGCAGAGTTTATTACTATGAATCCATTATTCCCTGGGAAGTCGGAGGTGGATCAATTAAATCGAATATTTAAGGTAAATTTATCATAATGTGAAAAATTAATGTGAAAAAAATAAATTAAACCCCTTTTTGAATGATAAATCCTAATTTTTCAGGACCTAGGTACACCTTCAGAATTGTTATGGCCGGGATATAATGAGCTACCTGCGGTACAAAAGATGACCTTTGCTGAACACCCGCCAGGCGGTCTTCGGCAGCGTATCGGTTCCGACCTGCTTACCGAAACTGGCTTGTCGCTACTACAGGGTTTTCTCACTTACAATCCAGCTCGGAGACTAACAGCTGATGCGGCTCTTGAACATTCTTACTTTAAAGTAATTTCTGTTTTAATATTTTTATGCCATATACTTAAAGTTTAATATATTCATGAATACCTAACCTAAGATGTAACTAAGACTTACACGAAACATGCACTTGGCCCTTATTAGATTTGTATTTGCATCTTTGTCAAGCATTTTTCAAAATCGAATAGGTACTCTATACCAGATAAAAAGAATTGTACAAGTAAATCTATCGTAAATGTCATTATTATTTCAAATTGCTTTGTCAAGAGGGAAACTCGCACGATCGATTGAACGGCGCTGAAACTATAAATTTGTGTGGATCACACACACAAATTTACAGTATGAGCGCTGTTCAAACATATCGAAATTTCAGGAGCAACCGGTGGCAATTGAGCCCGCGATGTTCCCCACGTGGCCGGCCAAGTCGGAGGGCAACCGCCGCACTACGCACAGCCCGCGCCCGCCCGCTGGTGGCGCCGCCTACGCCCAGTTCGCGCGTGCCGATTCAGACGAGGCGCTCGGTTTTCAGCTGCACACGCGCTCGCTCAACGTCGCTCCCGGATTTTCGCTTAAGTTCTGAAACACAAGTTAATAAAAACTTACCCACTATTAACGTCACTGAATGCCGTAATTAGGAAACGGAACCTGAAGATGACGAGCGTACAGGAATATATGCCACATTGAAAGTGTTTAGTGACATTATGAGTCCACTATACGATTTTGGAATGCTATTATAATTTGTATATAGATATATATTCGATTGAAGTTTGTTGAATCAATTCAACTTCTATTGCCTCAATACTTGAACTGACTACAAAGTAGTATACAAATAATATAGAACCATTTAAATTAACAGTATAAAAATAAGCCAATATCAAAGAGTGGATAACTGCAATTTTTCATCGTTTACAAAGTTATTCCAATTTGAAAAGTATGTTGTGTCTATTTCTATCACTTCTAATTGTAGCACTGATAAAAATGTATGAGTTTAGGTTTTGAATATTTAAAACAACTTATCTATTTTAATCTATATTATTTTAAAATTTAATTACATTTTCTCAAGTATTTTTCTTTTAGAACTTGTAAAATTAGTGATTTTATCTCGAGTTTTAAACTATCTGCATTTTCGCTTATCACTTAAAGGATTTAAAAAACAGAATTTCAAAACAAATCTAAAAAAGTTGGACATAGCCTACAAAAAAGATAAGTTAATGATATAATATAGATATTCATCTATTTTATTTTCTGCCATGAAAGTTTAAATATGTAAGAGATTGGAAGTGTTAATTCTTAGACTTTATACTATCAAATACTCTGATGATTTATGTTAAAAGATTACTCTTTTAACATAGATATACTGAAGAAAAAAAAACCACAGCCGAAAAAAAACACTAATACTTTGTGACGAAAACCTGGTATATTTACTTGAGACTTAATACAAATGTTCTGTTAAGATTATAATATTTACTTATTTTGACAATTTATTCAACTCAACAACACATTTGTGATGCTGCAAGTATTTTCAGGTAACATTGAAAGAACAGTTTCATTGTATATTCTAATACACAAAAGTAGTGATGGTATGTAATTCGTAATGAAGGTGTAATGAAAATGGTGAATTGTTCTAGGCATTTGTAAAATAAATTTAAAACACACACATACATTTGTAAAATAATTTATAACAATGTTTTTATTATTTTTCCTGTTCATTCTAAAATTTCCCAGCATTCACTAAAAATCTCAATCATGATTTATTTTATGTAACTCTGACACAAGGACTATTAAATCATCAGGGCTGCTGCTTAACGCCACACACATCGGTCGAAAGCAAAATTTATCATTCTGCCCATTCGTTCGAAAAGCAAGTTGAAAAAATATCGATTCATGTTCATATTTTCACATCTATACAAAATATTCAATATCAAAAATTACATGGAAAACGAATCAAATTTGAATCTGGCACTAGTAAGCAAATAAAACGAAAATTATGCCAAATAATTCATTTAATTAAATATTTATTTTAATAGTTTCAATTTATACATTTGGTAACGGCACTTTACCTTTGATGTTTTAATTTTATATTTGAATTTAAAGAGAACCTGTATCTTGTCTTGTATAAACTGATGTTTTGACTTTCAGTCCTGAGACTACTAAAGCTTTATCTGAAGCAGAACCGCTGGGCTAGCCAGAACCCACGGGTTTGGGCTCTCCGCTGTTGGTAGGGCCACGCATGTGCACATGTGTGCATTTAACTATGGTGTGTCATCTAAGGGACATCTAGGTCGTAGTTCGGACCGAAACCCCGATGGCCGTCCACTGTGCAATTAGCTAATCGGTGGCTGGGAGCGGTGAGAACCGCCACGGAACGCGGGTGTACCTTGTGTACGCGTTGTGTTGATCTCGGAGGCGAGGGCGAACTAGTGTTTGTTGTTGCACTAACTGTGGGTGTAGTGTTATCCGGCGGGACCCCTGGCGGTGGGTCAAAGTATCTAAGTCCCCTTCCTCGACCGGGTCGATAAGGATGTTTCGCGGGCGACGCTTGTTGACGTTCGCTTTTGTGTCGGGTTGGTAATTTGCTGCGCTTACCACCAGAGGGTTGAGATGATGTTCGGCTCTATCGAAGAACCGTTTGGTCAGGTCTTTAAAATATTCGCGAATCGTCGGTGTCTGCAATCGCTGTGCAGGTCAACGTTGCGTTGATACCACTGCGCACCGGTTGCGCGGCGGATGAACTTATTTTGTACTATTTGCAGCTTGTACAAGCGAGTAGGGTGCGTGTGGGCGAAGGTCATGCATGCATAGGACATAATAGGTCGTACGCAGGTCTTATATAATAAGTACCCGGAGGACCGAGCTTTGCTCGGTTTGTGTTTTTTTTTGGTAAATCGTGTATTTTGGAAATTACATTTAGATACAAATTACTGAGTAATGAAATATGCATAATATTTTTCGATCTTACCGACGTAATAATAAGAAAACTGAACTGAACTGATGTTTTTCACAAAAGAAAAACTTTAAAAAAAAAAGGGAAAAAATAACAAAAAAACAAATCGACAAAAAAATAAAAATAAAGAAAGCAATGATCTGGAATCGAAAAAAAAGTAAAAAAATAAATGTGTAAATGATCGTGACGCGAACCACGGCCGTCTGTTTTGGGGCCGCCCGATTACCGACAGAGCTATTGACATTTTCTCTTGCGGCGAAATTTACCGTCATACTCGAATTATATTTTTCATTCCCTGAAAACAGGGATAAAAGGACATTTTCTAAAAATGAATCCTAGCTAGATCGATTTTTCGCCCCCGAATCTACGCACATACTAAATTTCATGAAAATCACTGGAGCCGTTTTTCCGATTATATATATATATATATATATATATATATATATATATATATATACAAGAATTGCTCGTTTAAAGGATAAGAATAAGATTTGTGCCTTAAGGGTTACTTTTAGCGTTAGGTAAATTGTGTAGCTGGCCGGGGACGAATGCGGCTCTATTACGAACGTTATTAATGTGCCTAGGACATGACATAGTGACTCCTAGGTATTTGACCTTTTTCTAACTACTACAACGAAATATTATTGTATTTATTGAACGTAGAACGCAACAGTTGGAGAACAATCTATCAGATAATAAACCAACTTTTCATTATTTAAAAATTTTAACAAGTCCCTTATTGTATATTGTTTTTAATTTGTTTATTCATTATATTTTTCATTAAATTTATTTTTTCACCCTATAACGAAAATTATTCTTTTACGAACACGAAAAAAAATTTTTTATTAATTTGTTTATTTTTCACATTTTATGAAATAAAAACAAAATAATTAATTGATTAACAAATTAAAATTGAAAAAAAAATGTACCACTCAATAAGGTTTGAACTTGGGACCACAGTAATTGTTCACCTACCATGGCGCTCGGACTAATACGATGTCTGTGGAAGGCGACAAAATTTCGATTCTAGTTAAAATTGTTGCCATTTATAGATTTATGGAATTTTATCGATAATTTTTTTAAATATCATTTCATTGAGGAATTTATATAAAGTAGTAAGTCTAACATTCAAAATATAAATTAAAGATATATAGTTTAAGAAAATATGTAATAAAAAAGTCGTATTCGTAATTTCTGCCGTGGAGACTATGAAATTGCGTAATTAAACTTTAAATCAAAATAAATAATTATTCGTTTATTTATTATTTTGTTGTAAGAAATGTCATTTGCATTTATTAATTTATTTGACCTTAATATGTATTTTTAATCAATTCTAATCCGTTTCCTGATAATTTAAAATAATTAATAGGATTTTTTTCTAAAATTGTTGATTGCTTTCTCATACTTTATATTTGTTTGGCTATTATTATTTCTTTAATAATATAAAAGTAAAGTACAATCATGGTTTATAACAGATATTATAGGGTAGGGTATCATCTGTGTACATTTACGAAAGCCTTCCTTCCATGGTACCATTCCATGATTTCAGTATATATGTCTTATCTATGCATGATACTATCGATAAGGCCCAGCCCACCACCACCACTACATATACACCACAGAACAATAATACTCTCATGAGAAGAACGACAACTCCATAGATAAGACATATCTACTGAAACAACAATGGACAACTCCATACATTTGAAATGCGTACACGGGGACAACTAGCGCTCCAGTGGATGCCCACGAAACTCATAAGGCGGGAATATATGAAATGATAAATGTACTCGATAGAACTTGCCATTTATTTAACTTTAAGAGCATAGATGATACATATTTTAATAATTAGCACATTAATTCAAATTGCTACTGTCATAATTATTTTTTATATTAATGTATAATTTATGAATTAGGCGGGTACGAATAAAACCACATTTTCAACATTCTTAAATATTTTTATTATACAAAAAGTAGATTGTTTTAGTATTGCTCAATGATTCCCTCGTTTTTTGGACAAAGAGATTATTACAAAGCCGATACAATTCCGCATTTAACACAACTCATATTTGCTTTCCCTGCCGTTATCAAAGCATCCTTATTGAACAATTTAAAATGTAATTAAAATAATGAAAGCATCAATATCGCAAAGCAGTGTCTGTCTCACAATTCACAACACTATCTGCACAAAAACACAAAATCGTTCACCTCTAAATAGCCTCTTTTCTAATAAACAGCACAGTTTTAATAAAACGGCCATTTTTACTTTTTAGTCATTGAGGGTGTTGCCTTATCAAAATTATAAATGCTACTGTTGGTAAGAAATATTCTTAAAAATCAATTTCACAGGCTTGGTTCATAATGAAGTAGTTAGAAAATCAAGAGGCCTTAGTATTTTTTTCATAAATTTTTAAGTATACACAAATTGTTTGTTATTAGTTACATTCCATTTATAGTTTATAATTGGTAAAATCTACCTAAAAAGAACTTCTTCCAGAACAGTTGCAGATAACTTTCTCGCTCTCTTGTAGAGCATTATCTCTTTTTTACCGATTCTGCCCAGTGCTTGCATTTGTTTACTAAAAAGCTGTCTCTACAAACACACTAGGTAAGAATGACTTGGTCACGCGGCGCGTCGACGAAACTCGCGCGCTGCGCTCCGCTAAGCGGGGTTACCCCTCCTCCGCTTCTTCATACTTCACCACCATAGTTAAAATAAAAATTCACCGCGTACAGCGCCCCTTAAGACTTTCCGACGATAAAATCAAATTCGTTCTATGTTACGTAATTTTGGTTACAAGTTTTCACGAAAATATAAATTTGCCTTGAGATTAATTATTTTTTTTTAATTTGAATGGCCCTGAATAGATTTAATTTGAATGAACCATTTATTTGTAATTTTCGACATACTTTGTATTGAATTACTATATTAGGAAATTTGAGAAGAGTAAAAGACTAACGTCTTTTACTCTTCTCAAAGTCCAGTCGGTGGCTGGACAGGCGTCATGGCACCCTCACCGCAACGCAAAGTGACGCAAAGTTCTCTCGGGACATGGTTGTTTTGGAAGATACCTGTGCCACTTGGCGGGGAGGGAGCCAACAGCGGTTTGCCACCCCTGCGACGTATGTGCCGAGGAGACGGCCCAACATGCACTGGAGGAGTGCCCAGCCTGGCGGGAGCAGCGCCGAGAGCTGATGGCTATCGCGGGGCACGATCTCTCGCTACCCGCCGTGGTCCGCGCTATGATGGACAGCGAGAGGTCGTGGGGTGCCGTCCTTGCATTCTGCGAGGACATAATCAACCGGAAGGAGGCCGCGGAGAGAGAAAGGGAGGTAACTGCCACCCCGGAGACCAGGGCGCAGGAGGCTGACCTACGCGCGCAACCTTCCCCCCTGATAACAAGCCCCGGGGCGGCAGATGTGGGACTAACTGCTGCCGCGCGGAGGGCTTGAAAAAATTTTTTGCGCTTCCAGTATACGTTTCGGGGTCCAGACGAAACTGAGCATAGATAAGACATATGCTGAAACTGCAACTGAGGTAGGCGGCTGATAACATTTGATTATTTTTTGTGACGTAGTTTGCTCTGTTAACTCGGCGGCTCTGACAGCTTAAAATAATTAAATTTTTATTTTTAATTAGTCACCAAATAATAAATTTCTATTAAACTAAACCTTACCTGCGTCTTTTTAAATTTGAAAATTATTTTTTGCATTTAATTTTTAGCGCTCCAGCGTTGGGACGCCGCTGTTTTTAACATTTATAAATTTCACATATTACAACAATAAATGTTTTAAAAATAAAACATTTATTGATTCATATAAATGATTTGGTGTATTAATCGCTTAATAGTAAAGTAAAGTAGTAGTATTTTTATAAGCTTAATAGTAAACTATTAAGCTTATAAAAATACTAAGGGGTATAAAATAAAACTAAACAAGAAAATGTTGATAGTTTTTATTGGATTAGCCATTTATTAAAAGAAATTTACAATTTAACACGGCTCGTTTTTAATACGTGATTGCTTTTTAGCGGCCGGCTTCACTCATGCCCTTGGGTAATGCAAGGAGGGAGTTAATGAGATCAGCGTTTCGTTTCCATGTCCGGTATTTGGTGTCTATAAGAGCGTTGGTTTCGATGAGATATCTTCCATTTGAGTCTCCTCTCTTGTTATAAGCGTTAATCATTGAATGTATATGTCGAATGTACTAGAAAAATAAAGTTGTATTAACTGTACTATAGTCAAACTGTAATTTATAAATCTTGTTGTAGTTTTCCTGGTTCTCGTTTGACCTGACAAATTTTTGTTTTCACTTCACATCGATTGTTTTAGAAGATTTAGATATTCAGCGACAATCATGTCTCAACTTTTGAGACAAAAATGTGCCTAAACTTAAATAGGCTATCACTTTTTATATACAAGTAAGTTGTCAAGCGATCATTTCGGGGCTCATGGATGTCATGGATAAATTATCAGAACTCCAATGCTTTCTCATCGCATCCGATATTTTTCGGTACTAGTAACTGAACTGCTAGTAGTTACGAATTGTGTATTGCTAATTGTATCATGTTTTTTGCGCAATTGCTAATTGTATCATGCTTTTGCGCACAAGTAGTACAGAACGGTTTTTAATGCTTTGTACTGGGTTTGAGAAGTACACTTAGATGTGTTCAGTATGTACTACAAAACCAGCCTACGCAGTCTACTTATACAGTTTGATATTTTATAACATTTTGCTCACTTGAGATAAGGATAACAGGATATATTCAAGCGCAAAAATTAGTTAAATGTTATTAATTTGTCGTTAGCCTGATAATTTCAATACTTTTTCTATCATTAACTATTCATCTAAAAGGCCGCCCTAATTGTTTTTTTTTGATTATCGGCAAAGTTGTAAAACGACGAAAGTCGTGTCTAATTCCTTTAATTTGGTAGCTGATATGATTTTTTTTCCTAATATAAAAACTATCGATGAATAGATTACGTAGTATCTATTATATAGACGACGATCGACGATCGTTTGAATATATTAATCGTTAAATGGGGACTGTTAGAACCGCCCTGGAACGTAGGTGTAACTTGTGTACGCTTTTGTATTAGTTTTGCCAAAAACAAACAAAACAAACTATTCGGCTCTATGTGGAATCACTATGTGTATCTATTCAAAAAGGTTGCTCATCTTTACATAGTAACTTTATATAAGTAGGTCTTTTAAATTACGCAACGGATTTGATATGAAATTTTCAGCAATAGATAGTGATATTAATATAATAGTGATGAGCAATAGATTCAAGTAACAAGGTTTATATAGTATACATGCATATTATAGTAGAAAAAAGTCGAGAAATTCAATATAAAGTTGAACCCGTGCGAACCCGGGCGGGTGGCTAATCCGGAATAAATAGAAAAATATTTTATTTCATTTTCTGTGTATTTATTAAATAATAAGCCAAATTTGCCAAATTTTCAAATTTCTAAATTTCTGTTTAAAATGTAAGCGTAATTTTTTTCACTTGTTTCACTTCGATCAATAAAATTTAAAATCTAATGTTGCTTCTTTATTCTTAAGAAATTTTAAGCATACACGATATACAAAATAAATATACGTCAAAAAGTTTACTCTTTATTCCAGTTATAAATAAAATTCCTGTGCGTTAATATTTGACCTAAATTTTGTCAGACCAAGATTAAGAGACTTATTGGCTGCTATTGGAGCAAGATTTTCTTTTTATCATACGACTTTTTTTTAATTATTTAAAAATTTCTCCTTTGACGGTGATGTACAAAAATATTCACACGATTCAACTTGATTTTACAAAAAAAATTAACTGTCTCAAATTTGTTGTCCAGTGATAAGTTATCAATGAATTTATAGATAATAGAATATTATAAGATTATTTTTATTCTAAGTCGAATATTATAATAGCAAAAAAAAATATTTAGAAAAATCTGTAAAGAAGTAGCAAAAGGTGAACAAAGAAACTAACGCCCGGTTTCTGAAACACTGATCATCGTAGAAGCCATCTAATCAGCTGTCAAAAGGATTTTCAAATGTTATTTGAGTAGCCAAAAGCATTGCTAGACTCTCTAAACTGATCAGAATGATCTTCAGTGTGTGAATTATTAACTAATCTGAAAAATATGTTCATAACCGTGAATCATTGAAAATATAAAAACTTTATCATAACCTTTGCTTATAATTTCATTACAGAGTTTTTTAAGATATCTTTGAAATATCTTATTCCTTTTTATGGAATAACCGACCTTTTTGACGGTCAATGCTTTGACTAGGTATAACATTTTGCCGGGCGAGACCCGTGATGGGTTTGGAATAGTTTAGGTACTCCTCTTCATCGATCGGGTCCGTTTGGACGAAGAACCATCTTCCATCGACATTATTGTACATCAAAGCTCGTAGTGTGGTTAAGTCAAATCAAAATCAAAAATATATTTATTCACATAGACGCTTGCGCGTTCTTATGAAATGTCAAAAATTTTACATAAAAATTAATACGTTCGTAAGTTACCACCGGTTCGGAAAGCAGTTTCTGTTGAGAAGAAACCGGCAAGAAACTGAACAGTTGCTCGTGTGTGTACAAGTGTCGTGCATTGAACAAGAAAGTTAGAGAAACAATTTTGCAGTACTACAATACTTTGGCAGTATAGCTATAGACAAACTTGGTTTGTTTAAATTTGTAATTTGTGCTTATATGGTTTTTTCAGTGATTCAAATTAAAATTATACTAAGAAATTTCATCGGTACCTGTTCATTGGTCATAAACGGAAACATGTCTTGTATTTTCCTGTTAAGGATATATGGTCTGTAGTTTAAGTTACTTCTTATATTTTGAACGGCAACTTGGGGCAGAATAATAAGTACCATCACATAAATTGTCATAACACGCCATGTTGTGATCATTCTGAAATATTTTCATGAAATATATATTTCCATATGATGCAGATAATATTACCATTTCATAACTGTTATTAAACATTTGCACTAATATGTATGTAAGGTAGTAATTTTTTCACTATTTTTACCATATATCTTGTGATAAGTGAGAAGTTTAGACATGCAATTGTGTCTTCATAAATTTTAACTAATTGAATACTGGGTTAAGGACTCAGAAACGGGGTATTGCAAGTACGCGAATAGTTATAGTACGGTTATAAAATTGAAAAATCAGGAAATTTAGTAAACCTACACAAGTAACTGTTGACCTTTTCCAGTGTTGAAATTAATGAATTGAATAAAATATACTAGCTTAACAAATATACAGATACAACAGGTTCTTTTGTACTTTCATATTAAGCGATTAGTATATCATAAGTACCAAAACGATATTAGCAAAATCTATACAATCAAATATCAACCGATATTTTTGAACAGAAAAAGAAAACTATAAACTAAACCATATTTTTATATTATAATGGTAATGTTTTACCTGAGTCATTCAGGATCACAAAAAAACGAAAAAATAGCACCCTGATTTAATTATTTCGCAAGCAGTCGAACGTTTAGCGGTGTCAAAACCAGCTGGTGACGCCTATCGCCGGCAGTGGTTGAATGCGGAGAGAGCGGACATCACGACTGTAGTCGTGTGGTGGGCGGACGAGGTAGGTAATCTTGAGTTGGGGAGGCGTCCACCTCCGCAATGCGGCGATGGTGATTTCAGGGCTGCCGCCGTCGAATACAGCGTTGCCGCGTACCAACAGCGTCAACCTAACCCACGATCACCGGGCTTGACAATGACAACCCACAATGCTTCGCACATACTTTTATTCATTATGCGTCATTTTGGCCAATGCTTTATTAGAAGAGAATGAGCATGTGGTGGTGTTTATTAATAGGTTTTGCTTTTCAGATATTATTTCACAGATACTTAATACAAAATTTAAGCCACACTATTTCAAAGTACTTACTATTTTCACAACTCCAAAATAATTAAATTGTCGTTTAAGCAAGTCGTCAAGTACTTTAAGCTTGCTTATTGAATGCAAGCTTAAACTACTTGTTTTAAAGATAATGAACAAGTTGTTTTCAAAATGGTATAAAAATTATGTATCTTCGGTCAAAATCTTAAAACTTAAGGATTTATTAAGTCAGTCGCTTATCAGCTTTAGCATATTATTATTAAAAAGAAAAAAAAGAAATTAGAGAATTTTATTGACACAACAACTCGGTACAACTATTTTTGAATCACACAAATTTTGTCAAACCCACATACCAGTGGCGCGCTAAGGTACGCGGCGCGGTGGCGCGGTAAGGAAAGATGACCACATGAACCATAGGTATATGCGTGCAATTTGAAAATAAAATTTAAAAAAAATTATGTTCCATAAAAAATGAAGTGCTGTGAAGTGATAAAATTTTAATCACGATAGCTTGAATTTTCAGTTTCATAATTAAAAAAAAGTTTGATTTAACAATATCTTCAATTGATATTATTTTCAATCCAGCATAGGTAAGTTACGATAAGAAGATAAGAATATAGTTCTCGTGAAACCAGAGGGCGTTGTTAAATTCCTAAAATGCGCTATATAGGTACATATTTTCACAAGCTAACTATGGGAAAAGCGTCGACCATTTGCATTTTAATAATAATAATGCGAATTTCTTCGATTGAGATATATACGATAGGTTCGATTTTAGTTTTGCTCGGTATACGGATGTTCTTGATTTTGCTTTGCGATTTGGGTTTTTCTCGCCTTTCGCCTCTGGCTTCTTTGCGTTGGCGATATTCCATAAAAATTATAACAAATCAAGTGGGCCTGATAAGTAGGTACCATTCGTCGGCTCCTTAATATCATGTACTTTCTTCGTTTAATTTTTTGTGCCTTCCAGCGATTCTTTTCTCTTAATCTGATTAATCTTCTAATAAGCCTAGGGCGACCAACGGACAAATCTGTCACTGTGTAGGAATATAGATTTGGTTATGCTAGGATATTAGGATATTATATTGCTTTGTGGTTTGGAAATTATGTTTCTTTTTTGTCACTTACAAATTGTATGATGTTCTGATATTTTTTGTAATTAAGATACTTATTTTGTAGTATTTTCTCAATAATTAAACGTAAAAAAATATTAGATTCGGTATAGACTTTTTACAGAATTAAAAAGAATGAGAACGATTGGATCTCAACAATGTCATGAAAACCAAACACGACTTAGTGCTGATACCCATTTCGCCATAGACGCCATTCATTTTCTCGCACATTAGAGTTAGTTATAGGTTATAGACAATAGACATTAAAGTAAAGTAAAAAAGTAAACTGAGAGTGAATTTTGATCGAGTACCCGTATAGGCCGTTGACAGAACACTACATTAGATACACCGAGATGAAAGGCCAATGGGGAACGTCACAGTTATTTTCTCTGGAGATTTTCAAAACCTTTCCTCTCATTACTCAGCGGGACTAAAGCGAAGAAATAATTACCTCACAGAAGCGTTCTTATCTCTGGCCTTAAAAACACAAGTTACGGTTTACAGTTAACGTGCGGACTCCGTTTACTTTTCCAAGAATTTTCCGATTTTTTGTTAAAATTTAAGAAGGCAGAAAGAATATCCTTTCAGAGAAAAAAGGGGAGGTGTGTTTACCGGACATACTTGGTACAGTCGTTTTCTCAGAAAACAAATTGACAGGTTCAGTATTTGGGGAACTTTCAAGTGTTAACGTAACCAAGAATTTTCCTGATGATATCAGGATAATTCTTGGTTATGTGAACGCACTATGCTTATTGCAAGCAATGACCAAGTCACAAATTAGCTGGTTGAGTTTTTAAGTTCGCTTACTGCAAGTGTCCTTTCTGCATATAGAATCCCGCGTAATTTCGATGTAAAATTGTACAATGGCGGATTCCATTTTCAACTTCATATAAACGTAACTTTTCTTCAGAATATTTTTTAAGTATATATCATAACTACTCATACAAAAGACATGATTTTTTTGCCGTTTTTATAGGTTATGGTATGGAAAACTTCGTGCACGATTGCGACTTGCACTTGGCCGGTTTTTAAATTTATATAATCTAACAATCATCATCATTTTACAGACCATAATATAATTATAGTTAACTACAGTTTCATCCAATTCAGCTGTAGCTATTACTTTTTTTAAGTTGATATAACTTTTTTATTTTTGAACAGATTTGAATAAAACTAACACTGAATGTAAGTGAAATATGTGAATACTACAACGCATTAGTTAAAGTTCCAGCCAAATCGGTTAAGCCCTTTTCGAGGTTAGCGCGCACAAAAGCACAGATACACAGACAACAATTTTTACAACCATTGTTTTGACCTTCAATAATAGTTTTTCTCAAATGTCTTTCATGTACAGACAAAGACAAGTTACATTTTTGTTATATGTGTAGATATCTGTCTGTATCTGTTTGAATTTTTCACATTATTCCACGCTATAATTTATAAACAAAATAATCCTTTATGCAATTATTTTACTGTCACCGTAAGTATAATGATTTGTGCTTTCGTAAATGTTATAGAGTTGATAATGAAAATCGATTATACAAAAATATAGGACGACGGTTGATAGCCTAAAGCTAAATAAACATTGTAATGTATAGGGCCACGCAATCAGTGCTTTGATAAAATAAACAATACATATGGCACATTTTTATACATATGGCATGTTTTTATAGGCCAGTCATTCAATATACTATAATATAACATTTAGTATAAGAAGTAACCAAACATGTTTTTATATATTATTATATATAAACACAAAGCTCAAATGTAAAGTAATGACAATACTTGAATACTCTGCATGACTTTATAAAAAAGCATATTTGCTGAATTATTCACAGCCGGCAAATGCTACAGGACCCGCGACTAAGGTGTCTGGCGTTTTGTGTTTATACTCAAATTATACATGAGCGCTGGCTATGAAATCATAACTGTCAACTAAAGACACCCTAAAACTTATTGAGGAATTACCTATAATCGTCTTAAAACTGTTTGTATAGTCCCATTACTTAGAAGATTTCTAGTTACTTGTTTTTGATTTTTTTTTTAGGTTTGCCGATCGCCTCGGCCCCGACCAAAATGTTTGCCTCATCATTTTACAACCGAAATCGTGTCATATCGATACTAAAAGTTATCCGCGTCGCATTTGGCCTGACCACATCTTCAAATATGTCAAAAAATCTGAATTGTTGCATAGGAATCACTTCATTTTCGGAATAAAGTTGATCGAAGGTTTTCTGACACCAGTAGCGTAGCGCGTAACCAGGACACCATTTGGCAAAATGAGGGGTAGTTTTATAAGTTCATATACCCGGCGACTTCGAAACGTTTTTTTTTTTACTAATAGGTGACATTGAAAATGTCTGAACACATCATTTTGGCAATTTCAGCAGCTCTAAGAAGGCTTAAATTTAACCACGTTGCTACGGGATGGGTCGATAATTTTTTTTACATATACATATTGGCTGCTGCCCACGACTACGTCTGCGTAGAATAGGCTGAAGGAGTAACATTCAGACAGAAGGACAGAAATACATAAAAATATGTATTTATTATAGCCTATGTTTTATTTTGATCTAAGTATACTGTTTTACGTCGTCGTATTCCATTACAGACAATATATCTAAGTATTTAAAAGCGTACAAATCCCGCGTCCATCCAGTGACAAGTATCACACATGAACACTTATTTTAATGTATAAAAGGCAAGTATTATAAGCAGTTCTTAATCCAAACAAATATAATTGTAAAATCGTTTCAGATTTGGTAATACTTTTTTGGTAATAAAATTTTGATTGATGTTGCTTCATAAACTTCGCAATGAGATCGTTATTTATTTATTTATTTATTAGGCATACCAACAGTATACATATTATAAAATTTAGTGATATCAGAATAAATGATGTTCTTATATGTATAGCAATGAAAGGTATGTACAACTTTTACAAATAATATGGCACGTAGGTTTATTAGTAAAGAATTTAAAATTACCATAAATATGAACCTAATAAAAAAATCTTATTATAAAAGAAAAGAAAACAAAATCAAAATCAGAAAAACTAAATTAACGGTAACTAGTAATTATAATGAAATCACAAGAAATGCCAAGTATCTTGTAAAAACGCCTTGTATGCCTTCGATCCGTTGTGAATGTATACGACAAAATTTAGGTAGATACTAGTATTATTCAATATTTTGTTGGTGCAACGTCTTCAGCATATACCGCTCTCAATTCCCATTGCTCGAGGCAAACGTAGCAGGCTCACTTCGGCAACCCCTTCCACGCTCTCCGTAGATTTGTGCAACATCAGGGGGATAAGGTTCTCTCCAACCTTAATGCCGGCCACTACCACCTAGAGACGGCAAAGCCGGCCTTGCTGTTCCTTACTGAGACTCAGATATCTTCTCCGGCTGATACCTCTTTCCTCTCCTACCCCGGGTACACATTGGAACATTCTTTTGTACCGCGGGCGGGGGTGTGCATGTACGTCGGAGAGGATATCTGTTCTCTTCGCTTCGGCAGTCTTGGAGGACAGGACCTATCCATCCTCTGGCTACGCGTAGACTGCGACGACCATCCGCGTATCTACGCGTGCCTATATAGGTCCCATAGCGGTAATGCCGAAACTGACCAACTCATTGAGCACATCCAAATGGCTACAGACTCCGTGCTGCAGCAGATCCCATCCGCAGAGATCGTGATTCTTGGCGACTTTAACGCCCATCACGCCGAATGGCTCAGCTCACGCACCACCGATCATGTGGGGAGTTCTGTTCACAACTTCGCAATAGCCTATGATCTGACACAACTGGTCACCTCGCCAACGCGAATCCCAGATGTGGAGGATCATACACCTTCCCTGTTGGACCTTCTGCTGATCTCACATTCGGACGGCTACCTGGTTTCCGTCGATCCTCCTCTTGGTTCGTCGGACCACTGTCTTGTCAGAAGTACAGTGCCCGTTGCGCGCTCTACACGACCTCACTTCGCAGGCTGCCGCCGCGTATGGCACTATAGGTCAGCAGATTGGGACGGGATGCGGTCATTCTTTGCATCATGGGGGCAGATTTGCTTCTCGTTGGATGATCCAGACGCCGTTGCTGACTCTGTCGCCGATGTGGTGTGATATATGGAAATTTTTATTCCATTTTCTGCAATACCCATCGGTGGCAAATCCCAGCCTTGTTTTGGTCGTTCCTGCAAGACGCCATTACGCCGAAAGTGAGAATGCTACCGACCCTGGGCTGAAGCTTCGGCGTCTAGTGATGTAAAGACCAGCGCACTAAAAAAGGAGTATAACTCTGCT